TCCGCCTTGCGCATTTAATTAGTATCAAGTTAAACCTGTATGATACCTCAATCCTTTCCCACCTCCCTTGTCTTAATTTTCATTAAACATGAGTTGCATATACTATTTTACTACCATTAATTTTAATAATGAAAAATCAGCTCTTTATTTTCGAAATGTTCGAAACGTATAATGAAATTATGAGTTATAACTATGTAAACTTTGAAACAAAAAAAACGTATATACGAGGTGGTAATACAATTCATTTGTTGATAAGCGATAGTTTAATAACTTTGAAGTAAGACAATTTAAAATTAAATTATTAAAAAAATAGGAAGCTAAAAAGCTGCTCATTCAATTCAGAAAAAGAAACCATGTTTATTGATCTAAAAAGCAGTTTTGCGACTCTTATCGGTTAGAATAGTTTCGACTACATCGAACGAAAACTTAAGAGGATTAAATTCGCAAAGAATACAAAATAGAAGACATACAGAGTGGCCCTTTGACTGAATTAGACAATTAATAACGAATAATTGGAATTAAGTGATTTAAATATATAATATAAAATTTAAAAAATTGGTATGGAGATTATCACCATTGTTAAGTAATATAATTTAAATAAAACGGAAATAAATCAGTCATTTTTTAAAATTTTCCAAAAAATAAAAAACCCAAAAATATTTAACTATACTAAACTTTGGACAAAACAGTTGTTTTTCCTATTGACTTTAAAAATCATATATTTATTTATAAATTAATGATAAATACCTTCAGAAATAGCTATTGAATACTTCGAAAAGTATAAAATTACCACAATACTAACGAACATAGCCAAAAAAATCTATCTTGTCTAAGCAAGTAACTAAACAACACTATTTACATTTTTTAGTTAGGTACACGCCAATTATCCAAATAATCTGTTTCTGGGACTTTCCAATTCCCGAGGTTGTTTGATCTTGAACATTCTGTTATTTTCATTTCGAACATTTATTTTTTGCAAACCGTTTACTTCAAATTATTCATCAAGTGGCTACCGGATACTCAATAGGTATTAATTATATGTATGATGAAGAACAATTATTTATTCTACTAGGTGTGTATAAATAAATTCAAATAATAATGAAACTCTTTGTTAAAAGGAGTACTTACTAATCTTAACAGTAGTTATAGACGGCTTGTGAGAGTTATAGAATATGTACAACTAGTTTTGCGTATTTTAAATTGTACAAAATTAGTTTTTACATTTTTAAATGACCAGCAACTTTCAAGGTGGAATAACCTTTCGGGATTTCAAATTGATTTTCAGAAAAACGTTTTGACCTCTCTTACAACCATGTTACATATAATTGCTTCATTTGACATAATCAGCATATCCAGAAGATATATGGATCTATATTCTGTGTTGACATCTACTGGAATCAGTTTTGCTATCTTCCAAGATAAAAGTTTGTCTCTCTAGCATACCATTGAACATTGCCAGTATTTGTTCTGGTGCTGCTTTTACAACTTCCTTTATTGATTCTGGAGGAACTTCATCTGATTCTGAAACTTTATTTGGTTCTACAGCTTCTTTTATTTCATCTAGAGTGAATAAGTAGTTCCTCTCTAACATCCACAACTTTTTTTGTGCATTTATCTATAGGAAGAGAATTTCAGCAATCTCTTTTTTTCTACATAAGTATTATAGTGCGCCATCGCTATGCTCGACCAAAAAAACAGGTCTGGTCTCAGGCACATTTGGACACGGACTTAAATTTTATTATAAAATTTGTACGTTCAATTATAAATAAAAAAATAATTTCAAAATTACAAATTTATAACTATCAAACAATAAACAAAGTCATCGTCGAGGTTTGCAATCTCATTCTTAGCACTGTTGCCAAAATTTACTTTTATAATAAGTTTATCAACGTTGTCTTCGAGATTATCAGCAACCCACATTTCTTTTTCGATTTTTTCTCTTACATATGCAACGCAATTGAGCCAATTTTTTTCTGTAACATGTTTAAATGCTTCATCTATCAATAAACGAACATCCTGTGTCTTGAAATCAAAGTTTTTCATAGCAATATAGCGCACTGCCTAATTCCATACCATCTCGATCGGGTTAAGATCACAATGATACGGTGGTAAGCATAAGCATAAAACAGTTACCCCATATTTTGCAACTATTTGCTTAATATTATATTTGTTTATACAGTATGGTTCAAATGAAAGGAATAAATTCATTATAATGGAAGTAGTTGGTTTTTCGAAAAAATGCTCGGACAGGTCAATTTTTATTACTCAAAGCGCAATTTTTTAAATCGAATTCAATTTTCCCCCACTTCCCGTTTTTGGGCAGTGACGTCACTGACAATTTTTTTAAATAGTAACCCCAATTTTTTTTTCTTGATTTTGAAAGATTTTGCAATTTCCTACTCGGAAACATAATATTTGAAATATCTGACATACATTTTTTTTTTGAATAAAAGTCACTTAAAGATCAGATACATAAATTTTATTTTATTTTGAAACAATAAATGAATAAAAGATTTTTTGTAATTGTGCTTCATCTAAAAGAATAATAATAATAAAAAGAATTTAATGCCAATTTCACAAATTCTTTTTTATTATTATTATTATTATTATTATTATTATTATTATTATTATTATTATTATTATTATTATTATTATTATTAATATTTTGTTAGATTAAGCACTTAATTACAAATAATTATCTTATATTCATTTATTGTGTTCTCAAAATAAAATAAAATTTATGTGTCTGATCTTTAAATGACTTTTATTCAAAAAAAAATGTTATGTAAGATATTTCAAATATTATGTTTCCGAGTAGGAAATTGCAAGATCTATCAAAATCAAGAAAAAAAAATTGGGGTTACTATTTAAAAAAATTGTCAATGACGTCATTGTCCAAAAATGGGAGGTGGGAGAAAATTGAATTCTATTTAGAAAATTGCGCTTTAAGTAAACAAAATTGACCTGTCCGAGAATTTTTTCGAAAAACCAACTACTTCCATTATAATGAATTTATTCCTTTCATTTGAACCATACTGTATGCGTTGGCAACTTAAAGCAGCTTAGATTTTAAATAGGAGTCGTCAAGGAAAATGTTTTTCTCAAACAGCCAATTTTTTGTTTCAGATTTGTTCCATGAGATTGATGAAAAATTAAATTTACGGGAATGATACGAAGCGTTATCCATAACAACAAAGTTATTTCGTCCATATTTTGGTAAGTTAGAAATTAGCGACTTCTCAAATCATTTCTTAAGGATGTTGCTCTTCAAATTTAAATTCCTTAAAAATACATTAAGCTTTACTCATCTTAAAATTATTTACTACGCACTTGGTCAAAGCAGACTTCAATACTCCGTTATTGGGAGCTACCGCAAAAAAATTATCTGAATAAACTGGAAATACAAAAAAAGAGTACTTAAAATTATATACAGTAAAAAATTTAGGTACAAATTTACTATATGATGAAGTCAAAATTATGGATATCAGACAGTTATATATTTATGCAGTTTTAATGATTTAAATACTTCTAAACGATTGCAAATTTTATTAATGATGTTAGTAAGCAGTAACAGTAAACACAGCACATCTACATAACCTATAAAAATGTTTTTATTTTTTGACAGTTATAACTCAGTAGTAAACGAGTTTTGATATAACTTATATAATACACATATAATTAAGTTATAACGTAATGGTAATAAATAATATGATACATGCAAATTAAACTTACACAATTAAATTGTAATAACCATATATTGTGCACATAAAAGCAACGAAACTATAAGTTATAAAATAATAAGTTAAATAATATTAACGTGGTGTTTATATGTATTAATTACAACTTTTTGGTCATATGAAGATTCAGCCATTTTATTCGGTAAAAAGGAACACAAACTTGCCGCCATGTTGGTAAAAGATAAACAAAAAATTAAATTTGGATCTCATTCTGCATTATAATTGCAATATGTAGACAAAATAAGGTTACATTAATATGTTTTTATTTAAAATAACAATTGTTTTGAAATAATTTTGAAATTTATTTTTTTTTTTTTTTCGTAATTTTTTGTTGGGAATGAGGTGTTAATACACTGCGACCTAAAAGATCTATTGTATCCCCTTCTGTCGCCAATGTCTTAAGGAAATGTCTCAATGCCTATAACGACCCTTCCAATTCTATTTCCTCAAGGAAATGTAGGATTTGAAGTGGCTTCAAGTTAGGTAAATTTCCCTCTTCTATTTGATATCCTCCTAGATATAGTGCCCTTGGATTATGGAGTGCTAAACATTCAGTTAGGATGTGAATGGAAGTTTCCTCCTCCTCCTTACAGAATCTGCACTCACTATCCTCTTCTACTCTCAGTTTACTTAGGTGTCCTTTTAGTCGCCAATGCCCGGTAAGAATCCCTGTTACAATACGTAGCCTGTTCTTGCTCAGGTAGATGCAGGCTTCCGATCTATTCTGGTTATAATCACTTAAAAGTATCTTGGCCTGTCCCAACCCCAAGAGATTGTTTCAATTATCCGAAGTTATAAGTTAGTTATAACTGGAGTTATAGCAACTACACCAAAAGTCGCATAATAATGTATAATAACGGTATGTAAGTTGTTGAGTTTAAGAATCGTTGTTACAACTTCAGTATAACCCTTATATAACTTTTGGTATTACTTGGGTAGTCCAAATCATTATGTTTCATCAATCTACATAGGGTTTTTAGAAAGAACTGCAAAGTTGATGGAATGTTTAAAAAAAATCAATATGCAAAATTCCTCTCAATAAGCTTATAAAACCCTCATCATACGTATATCCGCGAGATTTCAATTCACCATTGTTTTCTTCCTCCTCCTTCTTGATGGTATAAATTGTTTTTTTTTTTACTACTGCCACACATTTTGGAAGCACGACTTACAGCTGCAGTCACACCCAATTTATATTCTAAGAATTAATCAAAACTATATTTTAATATTTATTTTTAAACACAAAAAACAACGTTTTTATTTAATTGTGCCAACAAATATTGAAACTAACAAAGTAATCAAATTTTTTTTTATTTCAGTCTGTATAATTCATTTTAATCTTCCTCACTTGCCCATATAATACTTTCTAACCATCCAACATAATAAGATATTCTTGCATATACTCCAGCAGTTTTTCCAAGTCCACAAGCTTTTCCAAACGATGTTACACCGACTAATGTGTGAACTTCAACTCTACTGTAAGACATTCCCTTGTTTTTAACTTGAAGAGGACCACCAGAGTCTCCCTAAGAAAATTGATTTCAAGATATCTCATAGAAAGTAGAAGATAATTATTAACTTACAGAGCAAGTATCTTTTCCTCCATCTCCTCCAGCACAAATTAGCATTTGGCCTGTAATTCCATTTGGTAAAAGTCTTGTTGTGGTTGTTTCATATAGTTTGTTACAAGATATCTCATCAATTTCTTTAAGATCAACATTCATCAAATGAGTACTAGCATCTCCTAAAAATGACGTCTTACCCCAACCTGTCGCTGTTAGCTCAGTTTCTGGAAAAGAATAGTTATTAAATTGTTAAACATTATTTTTCTACATATTCACCATTAATTATTGTTGTAGTTTGCAAACAAGCTGGAGATACGTATAGAGTAAAAGACACAATACGATCCAGCTCTAACAATGCTATGTCATGATACTTTGCAGGTGGTTGATAATCTGGGTGCGATATTCTTCGTATTATAGTAAAATCTTGAGGCATTGCATCATCGTCAGTCGTTGATAAGTCCAAATCGCCTAGACGTACCCATTTTGCGTTCCCACTAAACAAAATAGGGAAAAAATAAATTTATATACTCTGGCACTTCAACAATATTGTAGGTAATGGCTAACAAACAAAGCGAACATAAGTCAGATGGATTTAGAGGTTATGTAATGAGTTTAAATCTTAGGTTAAACAATATGGAGATGACATGCTATTAAAATAAGACATTACTTCTCCTATGATATACCTATCTCTAGTCTTCATAGGTTTATCCTAAACCCAGGTAGCAAGTAATGAAGTAAAACCAACAGTAAAAAGCAATGCTGTGCCTATAACTTCCATACAGCAAAAAATAATGAATCAAATAGATAAATAAGAATAATTAAAAAAAAAAGTTCTAGAAGAGCTAGGCAGACTAGAAATTAATAATAATCAAAGACAAAATGACTCCTCTTACATCACCAGCAAGACATAAAGGTGAGCTTACAAACACAGCATGTGGATATATGTCTAATAGCAGAAACATATTTCACCAAACGTACAAACGTCAAATTAAAAGGATATCAGATCTATCATGCCATTCATCCAAGCAATTCTATCAATAATACACTATGAATGAGGAAAATTAAAACTATAGAAATACAAGCTGTTAGTATATCTGTTAAAACAAAAGATCTATATCACTATTACACCTCCCTGCTTCCCACCTAGATATCTTAAAAGAGAAGACTACAACAACTTCTCGTCAAGTCTTAGTGAAAAAAATGTATATTAGGTTCTGATTTTAACGCAAAAAATGTCTGCTTGGGGTCAAAATTTACTACAATCAAAGGAAAAGAACTGCACCAAGCTATCAAAGATCAGAAATGTAGGAAAGTACTCAACGGGAATACCTACTTATTTGCTAAGCGTATAAACAAATTAGCTGGCCTCCTGGAGTGAAAATATCACTAGAGAACTCAATCCACATTACTTCTTTGAAAAAGTGATTAATGTTTTTTTTTTAAATTATAACTAAATGCCTATTTTCAAATTACATTGCTTTTTTAAGGTAATTCAAGGAAAGATTTTTTTTTAATTCAGTTTTTCACTATTATCTCCAACATTGTTTTAATAATTTTGAAGAAAGTTGGAAGAAGATAATTTAAATCTAATTTGATTAAAATTATTATTGAGTACAGTGACGTCCCATAGCCATAAAATAGGGTAAACAATTAAGTTACCTATATCAGTATTGGCAGTAGTGTTTTAATTTAGAATACTTACTATTGAATAGAAGATAAGCAATGTGCAGCCGTGATCACAAACTTTTTGCTAACTAATGATCCACCACATAGCCATTGCTTAGCGTTTTCTTCATCGAAGCCCACTGCTGCCTAAAATCATGGAATATAAATTATAATTAACATCAACTTAGAGAAACAACTTTTTAATACACTTTGAACTATATCTACATAATCAAATATTCATTGTGCTCACCATATGTGGAAACTGCTGGGGTAAAGATTTTTCTCCCCCAGAAACAGCAATGAAAAAATCGGACTTGGGATGGTACTTTAGACATTCTAGAAATTAAGAAATATAGAAATAGGTATTTTTATTGTGGGTAGGCAAAGGAGTATAAGTCAAAAATTTAGAAGCTGAGTAAATATATATTATATTTTATGTCCCATGAGTTGATTTATACTTATTTTCACACCAAAAAAAAAAATGTATTTTTGTAGTTCAATAACGACACTAATAGAAAGTATTGACTTATCTCATTTAGACCAATCTGTAGAAAACGTTTTACACTAAGTACAGATGACTAAAACTAATTTACCCAAAATTTTGACTTATACTTCTTTGCCCACACACGATGGATTTAATAAATAAGCAAAAAACAGAATTTGTACAAATTATCAGTCTAAAGCGATTATTGCAGAAAATCAAAAAACAATGTATACTCACGTCTGATACTTAAAGGTACGTCATCTGTTAAAGGTGAACGTGTGATTGGTCTATCAATATGCAACGTAGGTTCGCTTGATGTTCGTATGATTGCCAACTGAATTGGACAACAAATTATAGGTTCTATTCCTTCAAATTCGCATATATCGGGTCTATCATTTTGTAGTACTAATCTGATAGCATATGAACAGTTGCTGAATCTTTGGCAAGTACCTGGTCTACCTCGAGTTTGACATTCTACAACAGTAATTAGTTAAATAATTAGGCTTTAAAATTAAAATAGAAAGAGATTTATATAGATTGTATAGTATTTATAATTGAAGCTGAGTGCCAAAATTTTAAAAATGTACATTTTTGCATAAAAAGGTTCAGTATAGCAACCCTAACGTATTCAAATGGTTCTAAGTGCATTTTAAAAGAAATCAATTTTTGTAGTATGGGCGTATATGGTGTATACAATTTTTATTTGACTTTTTTCCATGCTTTTGGCACTTAGACCCTTTTCAATTTAAGGTCTTCAATTGATCTTGTCAAAAGAGTAACCTATAGGTTTTTTTTTGACAAGTGAATAGGAGTAAACAAATAACTGTCAACAAAAGATACGTCTGTACTTAATGAGGTTCAACTACGTATGTAATATTTAAAAATAGCCTTTTTGGCGCAAACAATATGGCGACCATAACCTTTATTTCTATTCCTTATTTAATTTTAAGTAAACAGTTACGATGTAGTGCTGTTTTCGTGAAAACAAAGTGGAAAAAATATATGTACTCTACAAAAGTAAATAAAATTTTAAAATTTATAAACAATTGTTGAAACAAACTGAGAAAATGTCTAATGTACATGTTAATATGGCTTAAAAGAATACAATAATAAAAATGTTTAATCTAACAGAGGGATGTTGCCCCCAAGACACTACTTAGGCAATACAACATACGATAGTGTATGTTTGGTTGCATATTGCATTTATCAATTTTGTAGCGACAAGAGACCTACAGCAAACGTAACTCATATTATTTGTAAATTCGAGAATATTCATTTATACTTTTAATAGTTTTTATTTTAAAAAGAAAACATTCTTTGACTATAATTCCAAAGTTCCTATTCCACCTTATCCGATTTCTAGGATTATTTTTTTACTATTTCAATTGACTAATATTTGTTTTTTCAAATATTTTTAACTTTTTATTACTTGTAAACTTTGTTCATTTTACAATTTATTTCACCCCACATTTGATGAAACTTGTTTTGTAGTATTCCCTAGTGGATGGAGAGTATGGTGAGTTTTCTCTTTTTTACTATTTTATATATCGTTTGCTCCAAGTTAACACACCCTACACCACATATTCTCCTTTCCACTAGGCGAGCCTGAAGATGAAGTGATGACACTTCGAAACCGGTCGCACTCAATGTTTTGTTAAATAATTAAACATTGACTTTCCTTGTGAGATATAAAGGACTTTTTCTCCCCCTTCACCTTAAAATTACCTCAACTCACACATGGCTACCCCCCTTGTCAACCTAAGAAAAGAAAACTTTGGTTTTCTCTAGTAGGGATCCTTGAAAATCAGCCCCTTCGTAAAAACCCAGAGTTGTGTTCAGAACACTTTTTTCCTGAAGATGTTTTGGAACGTGCAAATGGTACTAAATATATAAGAAAAGATGCAAACCCCAGAGGGTGTGAGGGCTCTATATTTGGATGACTTATCCAACAGGTAATAATACAAAATATTAATTTTTTTGTTTACCTCAAAACATTATTTATTACCTATATGTATGTATATTTAATGTATGGATTTTTAGTTCTGATTCAACTGTTTTTGGAACACCACCTGCTGCAAAAAAATTGCAGCAAGTATTAACACTGATAACTAAGGATAAAAAAATTAAATGAAATTTTAGTCCATAAAATTAAGGTATTTAATATATTTAAAACGTTATTTTAAAAATTTGTAGTTTTTTAAAAATTTTTTGCCATACCATGTTTTTTTGTAATTATTAATTAAAAAATTATATATTTTTAGAACAGTGTTTTATTTAGATACCCCTACCTACTTAATGTTAATTTAAAATTTTAAATAATTTTGGTTAACATCATTCCAGGCAAATATATAGTATGAACTATAAAACAATAAATATTAAAAATTGGAAGGTAACTTGAATTCTCTTGTATTTGAATTTACTTTTACTTGAATGTACCTACATGAAAAAATCATCATAATTATATTACTAAAAAATATACCTACTTATTTACGTATTTTTTTAACATAATACTCTGACAATACTGGTAAGTTTAAAACTCTACGCCACTGGCGAGCATATTATGAACAATGTTTACAACGTTGCCAGCCGATCCTAAGATATCTGTCTTTCTCTCTTCCACTCACTAACAATTTTAAAACAATAACAGTCCGCCATTTTATGGGATTTACACACAAACATCAGATGAATAGGGAAAAGTAGACATGTGGCAACAAAATTTTATTTCTCAGGATTTATTGATATACGTCATGAAACATAGGTAATAGACATTAAATTTTAAACGTTAATAATTATTTCTTTATGATTATTTCTTCCAATATCTACATAAATTTTGCTAAAGTACTTTGTAAATCACAAAATTTATCATGGACTATTAAAAAAGTATGACTACACAGCTCATTTTTTAATTCTAATTTAATTCTAAATTACTTTTAAATTACGTCAGGCATTGATACTGTTAAATTTCAATGGATGAACTATAAATTAGTCAAAATTTAATAGGAAATGAAGTTTAATGAACTATTTAGCATAAAAATCTCTTACCCAATTTAAATAATAACCGTATAACTATAAAAAACTTGTAACATAACATTATAAAATTTTAAAGATGATGTTTTAGTATTTTACTTATATCAATAATAGGTTTTGGTAATTGAAACGGTAAATTTTATATTGTTTATTATTTTAATCATCTTGTTTATTTTTACGTGGTTTTAGAAAAAAATAAAATATATTATTGAGAAATTGACTTAATATAATAATAAACAATTTGTATGTTTTTTAAATGGTATAAACAGAATAAAAGATTTTTCTCAAACTACTTTCATAATCACCAGTAGAATATTGTTTTATTAGGTTTAGGTGACAAGTATGGTTTGTAGGTCAACGTCTTTTTAATTAATTATAAAAATTTAAAAAAAATAAATTAGATTCTAAAATTTAAATGGTTACCTTCTCCAAGTGCGGACGAATATCCTATGTAGCTCAAAGCCAAAATAAATATGATACACATGACACAAGACTGCAGATTTCAATTAAACTGGTTCAAGATCACCTTCTTCTCGCATTCTATTAGTTTCACAGTCTGCAAATAAATGGTTTCCGTTTTTTCAGGTTTTTCCTGCCAGGTCAGTTTAACTGTAACCTGATATCTACTTCTTATACAATATTACTGACACGCGAAAGAATATTTGAGAACAAAATGTGTGATGACAAATAAAATAATTATAAATTTCAAAATTTTTAGTAATTTTTAGTAATTTTTAGTAATTTTTAGTAATTTTTAGTAATTTTTAGTAATTTTTAGTAATTTTTAGTAATTTTTAGTAATTTTTAGTAATTTTTAGTAATTTTTAGTAATTTTTAGTAATTTTTAGTAATTTTTAGTAATTTTTAGTAATTTTTTAGTAATTTTTAGTAATTTTTAATAATTTTTAATAATTTTTAGTAATTTTTAGTAATTTTTAGTAATTTTTAATAATTTTTAATAATTTTTAGTAATTTTTAGTAATTTTTAGTAATTTTTAGTAATTTTTAGTAATTTTTAGTAATTTTTAGTAATTTTTAGTAATTTTTAGTAATTTTTAGTCGTTTTTAGTAATTTTTAGTAATTTTTAGTAATTTTTAGTAATTTTTAGTAATTTTTAGTAATTTTTAGTAATTTTTTAGTAATTTTTAGTAATTTTTAATAATTTTTAATAATTTTTAATAATTTTTAGTAATTTTTAGTAATTTTTAGTAATTTTTAGTAATTTTTATTAATTTTTAATAATTTTTAGTAATTTTTAGTAATTTTTAGTAATTTTTAGTAATTTTTAGTAATTTTTAGTAATTTTTAGTAATTTTTAGTAATTTTTAGTAATTTTTAGTAATTTTTAGTAATTTTTAGTCATTTTTAGTAATTTTTAGTAATTTTTAGTAATTTTTAGTAATTTTTAGTAATTTTTAGTAATGTTTAGTAATTTTTAGTAATTTTTAGTAATTTTTAGTAATTTTTAGTAATTTTTAGTAATTTTTAGTAATTTTTAGTAATTTTTAGTAATTTTTAGTAATTTTTAGTAATTTTTAGTAATTTTTTAGTAATTTTTAGTAATTTTTAGTAATTTTTAGTAATTTTTAGTAATTTTTAGTAATTTTTAGTAATTTTTAGTAATTTTTAGTAATTTTTAGTAATTTTTAGTAATTTTTAGTAATTTTTAGTAATTTTTAGTAATTTTTAGTAATTTTTAGTAATTTTTAGTAAGTTTTAGTAATTTTTAGTAATTTTTAGTAATTTTTAGTAATTTTTAGTAATATTTAGTAATTTTTAGTAATTTTTAGTAATTTTGAAAATGTGGGAATCAGTTTTTGAAAAAAGTTTTGATACAAAATTAAATTTCACAATCTAGAATCAAAAATAAGTATCTCCTGGTAGGTATCCAGATAGGATTGTATGTTCCCGTGTGGTGCTTCGGGTGAGAGAGAATACCACCACGGCCGAACCAGCCTGTCGTAAAAGGCGACTAAAGGAATCTTTTATTTTTCATTTTCCCCAACTAATTTTTTGTTCTTGTTCTATCTCTCTCTTTCCTTCTTTCATATAACTTCCGCCTGTCTGAGCCCGCCAAGTTACTGTGCTGGAACCCCTCTTGTAAAGCTGTGAGTTCAAAACCTTCAATATTCAGTGTTAGCTTAACTAAAGTACTTGCAAGTGGAAGTCTGGAAACAGCACAAGAGCGTTGTGAATTTTTTGATCGTACCTTCGCGTGTTATAGGACGATAAACTTTTTTTCTTCCCTCTCTTAGGTTTAGTATCGTGAGAATGTATTTAGGGTTAGGATGTGACCTGTGTTATTTTGTATTTCTGTCATCTTTGAAGAATATTTGCAGATCTGCAAAGTTGCAGACGTTCTGTAATCTCACCCTTAATCTCAGCGTCAATGCAGAAAGAAACGCTGGTTACGTACGCAAAGCTTACTAATCCAAGGAAGCTAGCGATCTTCGTTTAATATTTTGTCATTTACGAGGGGTTATGAAGAAGTTGTTCTTAAAAATAAATTTGATATTAATTTAAAATTAATTTCACGTAACAGTATCCAGATAGGATTGTATGCAGGAAAGTAACTTACCACGAAGCCCGAGATTTCCTAATTTATTTATAACTATACCAATAAAAACTCGCAGGTCGGATATTTTGGTAAGAAATAGTGATATTTTAATTCTGTATAAATCAGTTAACAATATCAATAGCCTTTGAAAGAAAATTACTTACTAAACGAGATACCTGTGAACAACTTTTTATTCTACATATAAACCACAATCTTTATAATTCAAAATGATATACTATTCTTAATTATTTTCCTTTTTTCTTTTGCTTAGAAGGAAATAAATTTAAAAAGAACGTTTCGTCTACGGCATCTGTTAAAGGAAAAACTAGCATTCTATTTTCCTCAGCTATTCTTTCCAATTCTTTCAGCTTCTCCTTTTCTTCGTTAATTCTCTCTAATTCTATTTTCTCTTCTTCGTGATCTTTTTCAGTTTTTTCACCTTTCGGCGCAACTTCTGGTTCGAGAGATTCTTTTTTGGTAGTTTTCTTCTCTTTTTTCGGTGGTGGAGCTAAAATATAAAAATAAACGTAATTATTATTTTGATTCAAGGAAAGAATGCGTAAAATTGAATGTTTTTAATAAGAAAAAAGTTTCTAATTCACCCGATTCAACTTTCGGCGGCTTTTCTTTCTTGGGTTTTTCCACTTTCTTCTTTTTAGGTTTCGGTCGTTTGAGTTCTGTTTTAATCTTCTTTGGAGTGTGCCATTCTTTGTTCAATCCTTGAGTATATAAAAGATGGGGATAGCGATAAACCATTTTTATGGCGGAGAATTGAAACGAATCGTAAAAACTAAGAAAAAATATATTGTTTCGTTATAATGGCATTTTAAACTAATCTAGGGAAGCAGATTGTACAAGTATGGCAGAGAAAAAATATGAAAAATATCATGATGGTATACTAAAGAATCTTAATAAGGCTTTAGAAGCAGGAACTATGGCAGAGAACATCAATCAGAATAAAGAAAAACTGATCTTTACCGTAAGGTAAATAGTTAAGCTAAGATAATAATAGGTCTGTTCCAACAATGATCAAAAACGGATTCTGCGCCGTATATCATTTGGCTGTCCCAATAATCTACTGCGCAGAATCCTGGTATCAATGACTGATTTCTGATCCTACAGCAATGATAGACATTGTACATCACAAGATCAGTTATTTTAAATCTGTAACAGTCTTCTTTATGATGAAATCTACGTGATATTTCTACTTATGTTTCAAAATTAGGTTAAACAATGGTATTAAAGTTAAAACACTGCTCAAAGTTTAGGTTTAATGTTAATGTGTAAGGTTGTCCATGTTCTTGTAGCTAGTCTCCAAAATAATAAATCTGGTTAGTTATTATTGACCAAAGATGTTGATAAAATCTTTGAAGAATTAACAGTGCAGAATTTTAAGCATAAAATAAATTATATGAAGGTTACAAAATATGTGAAGAAAGCATTGATAGCTTGAAGAATCTAGTCAAATATGCTGAAGCATGTGGGTACCTTATACAAGAAATTTTACTGACAATGGAGGAGAGTTTTGTCAGAATTGACATACAGCAGTTAAATAAATAAAACAAAACGCAACTTCAATACTTACTAGTCATACACAATTTCTCTAATAGCCATAATGACGCAAGTATTAACAAATCTGTGTTCTCTTAGTTCCTTCATATAATCGTGAATCATTCTCATATATTCTGTCAAATTAGCCAATGCATTTGCATTCGATTCAGATTGTACCTGGTTCGTTTTTTGAGTGTCTGGACTTTTTTTGGGATCGATCTTCTCTTCTGACGACAAATAACCCAGGCTTGAATCATTCATTGATTTTTTTCTGATTTGCCACAAATGGTAGTCATACCAACTCTTAAAAACAGTAAAGTTTCAGTAATATAAGAATGTAAAGTATGGATTGATGTAAACCAAAGTAAAAATTATTTGTAACTTTTGTGATTTTTGCGATATTTTTTTGATTTTTGTAATTTTCATGATTTTTGTGATTTTCGTGATTTTTGTAATTTTTGTGATGTTTGCGTTTTTTGTGATGTTTGCGATTTTTGTGATTTTTGAGATTTTGTGATTTTGTGATTTTTTTTTGTAATTTTTTTGTAATTTTTTTGATTTTTATGATTTTTTTGTGATTTTGGTGATTTTTTGATTTTCGTGTTTTTGTGAATATATTTTTTATTTTTTCGTGATTTTGTTGTGGTAAAATTAAGGCAAAATGAAGTTATTTTTATGGATTAATGTCAATGAAATTAATTGCGATTTTTATGATTTTTTGCGATTTTGGAGATTTTTTGCGATATTTTTGTGATATTTTGGTAATTTTGTGGTTTCTGTGATTTTTTTTGTGATTTTTGTGATTTTTATAATTTTTGTGATTTTCATAATTTTTGTGATGTTTGCGATTTTTGTGATTTTTTTTTGTGATTTTATGTGATTTTTGTGCTTTTTGTGACTTTATGATTGTTTGCGATATATTTGCCATTTTTTGTGATAATTTTGTTTTGATTTTGTGATTTCTTACTTCTTAACCAAACAATATATTTAAAATTAAAAAAAATAAAATATAAAAAATTAAAATCGAAAAAGTTATCGTCATACCTGAATGGCTTCCTCTTCTTTCTTTTTCTCACTTCTTTTCTTTTCCTCCGGCTTCATTTCAAATAACTTACTAGGACATGGAGCGTCCGGAGCCTTTTTCTTGGACAATACCCACGTTGGTGGACCTGAAGGTAAAATTAGAATTTACATTATTTTAGTTTTGAACATATAGAGTAGAGTACTCTTATTAAATGGTAATGTAACACCTGTAACTGTAAAATGAGGGTGTCGGTTGCCTCGCCTCACATTACTTAGGCCTTGCTAGAATCGTTGTCCATCTTCCACGATATGTATGCCTCTTAATGTACCTATATTATATTGGTGATTATGTAATTTGTGTTCCACTGATAAAAATAGGTATAGGTACGATACCCTTTCATAGGAAAACCATCAGATTAAAACAGTTTAAAATTTAATAAAAATACAGACGTACAAAAACAAAAACACATTAAAACTGCATTAGAAACATTAAAAACGGTTACAAAATATTAAAAATGCATTACAATCGCCATAAAAATATATTAAAAGTACTTTAAAACACATTAAAAACAATAAAAACATTAAAGGTGCCGTAAAAACAAATTTAAAATACTATAAAAATACATTAAATATAAATTAAAACACAATTAAATACAAATTAAAACACATTAAAAACCTAATAAAATACATTAAAAGTGCATTAAAAACACATTGAAACAAATTAAACACACATTAAAACCATATTAAAACCATATTAAAACATTAAAACACATCAGAACGCATTTAAACGCAATTAAATGTATTTTTAAATTTTAAAACGCCCGTTAAAAACAGTTTAAATCATGTTAAAACCACTATAAAACACAATTAAAGAACTAAAAATACATTAAAACACATAAAAGTATATGAAAAAGTAAATGTTTTTTAGAGCTTGGACTGTAGAGAATTTTATTTATTTTTACGGACAAGCAGAAAACTAGTAGAATGGCTTATCTTAATTATTTTTCTTCTGAAATGTGGTTCTAGATAGCCAGAATAGATCTACGATGAGTTTTTATGCTGCTAATAATTTACAAAATAGGCGACACGGTTAACCGGTGTTCTAGAAGTTTTCTGATTTTTAACCGACAACTGCGACGTTATTGATAGAACTGTTAAAAAAGTACCTTTTGCCATATGACAATGCCTATTTATGGGCGCGACATAGGTTTTATAAAAGGTAACGAAATATTGTTATAAAATAAAAGAAATAAGAAATTTAAAATTAAATTGCAATTAAAATCAATTTACATTCAACTTAACATAAATAACACACTTAAAACACATTAACAAACAATAAAACAAAATAAAACACCTTCAAAACACCCGTCAATATTACTAGTTTCTTACTAGTTTCCCGTTCGAAGGACCAAAAAATGTAGGATTTTGAGTCGACAATTTTTAACGAAGTTTTGCTAGGAGATATTTTAGATTTTTATAGCGTTGGAACGAGAGGATACTCTTCCTTGTTACTTAAGAGATAAAAGTTATTTTATCTTCAGGAATGTAAGAGAACTGCAATTTTTAGTACCAAGACTGGACAAATTATGTCTGGTCAGAATTAACTGTCTAACCGCCTATCAGTGAAACACAAATTATATCACTGGTGTAATAAACTAACCTAAAAAATTAATTGGTGAAAATAAAAACAGTAGGATACCGTCAGATTTCCGACTGTATTCAAAAGTAAGAAAATGCAAAGACATGAAACTACAAAAAACAAAATACTGGCTTATTGTATCTAACCTGCAGTCCCTTCGTCATCATCTTCCTCCAAATCAATGCTCTCGCTTTCATACGAAAAGGACACAGAATCACTAAAAGACGAATCTTCAGAATGTGCAAACCTAGATGGAGTCGATAGGTCCGGTTTGTAGAAATCTTCAAACATTAAAGCATTGGCTTGGTCAAAATCAGGAGAAATATCTTCTGCAATTTGGTTGTCAGAGTTTTCTGGTTTTACAATTACAATTTCGTTTTCTGATACAGTTTCAACGGTAGAGCTTAAACCTAAGAACAATATGCATTTAAATTCAACCAATTTTTATTTGTTGAATAGTTACTTATGACCGGGAAAAGCTAGAGGTTTTGTAAAATACATTTACAATTTATCTGGAGTACACCATGGATCCATATTATGGCCTCTACGTTTTATACTGTTTATAAATAACAGATTGTAGATAATTATTTTACAATAATTGTCGCTATCCATTAATGTATTAATAAAATAAAGTAATTTTTGAATAAAAAAAAAAACTAAAAACTTACACTCATCATCAGTATCCCAAGGAAAGACTTTCTGTGGCAAATCGAAAAATCTAACGCCGTCATCCAACTCTATAGCCAAATAGCTGTTATTTCTGGCGACTTCAGGTGTTATCTTTGGATCGTCCATTGAACTTGAAGAAGAACCACTGGGCTTGTCAGGAGGTTTGACAGTATCGCTTAAAGTAAACAAGTCTCCCGGTAAAGGCAGATATTCGCATCCAGTTTCAATGAACAATTCTGCTATGCTTAAAGCTTCGCTAAATATTTTGAAAATTTGTTTTCTTGGTAGATTCAGATGAGGAGCTAAAATATATTTTTTTGCCTTCTTTAGAAATCATCTTTGTCATCAGTCCATACTAACCTCTTATTAAATTGAAAGCGTACGACACCCATTCTAAAATAATTTTCTGATGTTCATCGGGAAACTGAAACTCGTCTTGCACCTTCCATAAACAATCTGTCATAAAGTCGAGGAACCAAAATTGCACCAAATTGTGTTTGTATTTTTTACAATTATATATTTCGGCAAGCACTTTTATCGATTCCTTAAAATACATTTATTAATAAACATATTAGGATTTTAAGATAAATTAAAAGGTCGATTGCATAAAAGGGTTAAGCAATGAAATGTTGTTTATGGAAAAAACAGCTTCGAACTTAATAATGGGTTTTAATAAGAATTTGAAATTTCACCGGCGAGAATGGTTATTATTACAGGGATTTGTGGGAAATTAGGAACCAGTTGTTCGCAATATCATATCTCGACCAAGGACATATCTTGGTGATAATCGGCTTAAAGTATTTATTTATATAATTGCAACATACGTCATAGAAAGTACATTTCCCAAGTAGTAAATATATCTTAAAGTAAAATTATTAATATTTTTTTAAAAAAATATTAACATTAAATACATAAAATACACATTGAAACAAAATAAAAACACATTAAGAATATTAAAATCCATTAAAATGAATTAAAACACATAAAACATTAATACACAAGAGAAACATTAAAAACGCATTAGAAAGGTTTTAAAAACACATTAAAAACACATTATAATACATCAAAACACATTAAACCTTCAATAAAAACAGATTAAAATACATTTAAATAAATTTAAACACAATAAAACACATTAAAATACACTAAAACATATTAAACCCACTAACACCCATTAAAACCCCATTTAACACATAAAAAAATATTAAGAAGCAATATCACCATTTTGACGAAAATGGTAGGGGACTTGTCCATTATTATTATTACAGGGGTGTAGGGGTGTTTTTGCAATTTTAGGGGTGTTCAAATCATTGCTGCCAGTTTTAACCCTCATTTTCGTAATCAGCGCCCCAAAATACGTAGGTGACAAGTGGTCTCGTCAAATGCGGCGTTTCTCGATCTTTTATCGTTATTTTAAATGGACTACTTGTTTATACTATTAAACTTTAAGTCGTCTACAAACAACAGATAGCGACTGTTTTAGAAGCAATTTGATACGTCGTTTATAATAATAATAATAATAATAATAATTTTATTTCCCAAATTCTACAATTTACATACAATTTTTTTTTTTATACATATCTTTTCCAAATGAAGATGGATAATAAATATCTCCACTGAAGTCTTACGACTAGTACGTGGGAAAAAACTGTATTTTTCTTCTCTTTTAAAAGAAAAGTTAATTATTACAATTTAATAGATTATATTCCTAAAAACTAAAAATATATATGTATCTTTTAAAGCTTACCTAAATATGTACATACAAATAAATCAAATTAATTATTTAAGTAATTAGAAAAAGTGTGTGAACAAAAATATTGATGACAGGATTAATTTTCATTCAAATAAATATTTAAACTTTTTTTGCGGATAGTTTTTTAACCAAAACTTAACATTTTTACCAAAGCTTTTGGAATTTTTTATTTCTTTAATTTTTTCAGGCACAAAGCGATATATGTGAGGCGCTATATATAACAAACTTTTTTGGGTTGCTGATTTGTAAACTTTTATTGTTTTTGTTTTCATTCTTAATTTATGCCGGGTGTTGTGTTCGTGTTGAATATCTAATAGTTCGCGTCTTTTTTTGTGTTGGTAAGTAACTACTTTTTGTAAATAAATTTGTCTAATGTCAAGTAATTTACTCTCTATAAAGAGAGAGGTTGTTGGATAATCATAGTTTCGATTATAAACAATAGAAATAGATTTTGAACCAATATAGGAACTTAGGTAACACCGGACGTCACGTATATATCACAAGAGGCTGCATTATGAACCAAAATACGCTGAGAGCTTACTGTTAGGTAAGAATTGATCCATTTCAGATACTTAGTTGCAACTTTGAAGTCTCTAAGCTAGGAACTTGTGACAGACACTATCGAATATTCCAGATAAATCTGTATAGATAGCATCGACTTGATGACCCTTTCGACTGTGTGCTGTACCTACGGTCGTAGTAGGTACACATATTAATTTAGTTAACCAACATATTAACATTGGTCTAGATAGTGGCCGGCAAACTCATTAATCAATAGGGCCAAATAGCAACAGTACAACGATTGAAATTTCTGTTGAGAGCCAATTTTTTTAAACTTAAAGGGTAGGTACATTGTTATTGACTTATTTAGGGTGGGTATTCCTAAGCTGGCTTTCACTAAAAACGTTCTCAATCTGATTGAGGTAGGTTCACTGATGAAGCTGAAACTAGCAGCCAGAGTTAGCAGCCTGTGTGAGAAAATGCATACAAGTTAGATATCACAAAATAAAGTAATATTACTACTTAATTTGTCTTATTATAATAATATCAGTAATGATAACAATAATAATGATAATAACAAAGTGAAGATATCCGTATTTGGAAACAAAAAATATCAGTAAAAATGATATGAATATAGGTACTTTAAAAAAAAACTTTAAATATATATTCAAATTTTTCTTAACGAAAAATGATCGGCGCTGGGTTAAACCATACATCAATAGCTTCTTCACATAATAGGGTACAAGAACACATATCAAAAAAACAATATCGAGTGCTGGATTGTTGAAATTATTATATTTGTATGCTATAGTAATACCTAACACAAAAAACATATTGTTTTTTTAATGAAAAATTAACGACGCTGGGTTCTATCGTACATAAATGGAATCCTCAACCAATATGCTATAAGAATCAGTTAATCAAAAATACATTATCGAGTGCTAGACCGTTGAAAATATCAAAAAACATTCAGGCTCGAGAGACATTTCCAATAAAAATGTGATTTCTCTTAACGAAAAACTATCGGCGCTGGGTTATATGATATATCACTGGATTACTCAAGTAATAGGCTACGAGAATACCTCAATATAAAATACAATATCGAGTACTAGAACGTTGAAAATACCAAAAATTAGATAGGCTAGTGTAATATCTCTCGTAAAAATATGATTTTACTTTGGATTAACTAATTCTTATAGTATATTGCTTGAGGATTCCATTTAGGTACGATAAAACCCAGCGCCATTAATTTTTCTTAAAGAAAAATCATATTTTTACGAGATATATTACACTAGCCTATCTAATTTTTGGTATTTTCAACATTCTAGCACTCGATATTGTATTTTATATTGACGTATTCTCGTAGGCTATTGCTTTAGTAATCCACTGATATATCATATAAACCAGCTCCGATAGTTTTTTGTTAAGAGAAATCACATTTTTATTGGAAATGTCTCTCGAGCCTGAATGTTTTCTGATATTTTCAACGTTCTAACACTCGATAATGTACTTTTGATTAACTGATTCTTATAGCATATTGGTTGAGGATTCCATTTAGGTACGATAAAACTCAGCGCCGTTAATTTTTCTTAAAGAAAAATCATTTTTACGAGAGATATTACACTAGCCTATCTAATTTTTGGTATTTTCAACGTTCTAGTACTCGATATTGTATTTTATATTGACGTATTCTCGTAGCCTATTACTTGAGTAATCCACTGATATATCATATAACCCAGCGCCGATAGTTTTTCGTTAAGAGAAATCACATTTTTATTGGAAATGTCTCTCGAGCCTGAATGTTTTTTGATATTTTCAACGGTCTAGCACTCGATAATGTACTTTGGATTAACTAATTCTTATAGTATATTGCTTGAGGATTCCATTTAAGTACGATAAAACCCAGCGCCATTAATTTTTCTTAAAGAAAAATCATATTTTTACGAAAGATATTACACTAGCCTATCTAATTTTTGGTATTTTCAACGTTCTAGCACTCGATATTGTATTCTCGTAGCCTATTGCTTTAGTAATCCACTGATATATCATATAACCCAGCGCCGATAGTTTTTTGTTAAGAGAAATCACATTTTTATTGGAAATGTCTCTCGAGCCTGAATGTTTTTTATATTTTCAACGGTCTAGCACCCGATAATGTACTTTTGATTAACTGATTCTTATAGTATATTGCTTGAGGATTCCATTTATGTACGATAAAACCCAGCGCCGTTAATTTTTCTTAAAGAAAAATCATATTTTTACAAGAAAAATTTCTCTATCCTAACTAATTTTTGTTATTTTCAACATTCTAGTACTCGATATTGTATTTTATATTGACGTATTCTCGTAGCCTATTGCTCGAGTAATCCACTGATACATGATATAAGCCAGCGCCGATAATTTTTCGTTAAGAGAAATCACATTTTTATTGGAAATGTCTCTCGAGCCTGAATGTTTTTTGATATTTTCAACATTCTAGCACTCGATAATGTACTTTTGATTAACTGATTCTTATAGCATATTGGTTGAGGATTCCATTTATGTACGATAAAACCCAGCGCCGGTAATTTTTCCCAAAGAAAAATCATATTTTTACGAGAAAAATTTCTCTATCCCAACTAATTTTTGTTATTTTCAACGTTCTATCACTCGATATTGTATTTTATATTGACGTATTCTCGTAGCCTATTGCTTGAGTAATCCACTGATATATCATATAACCCAGCGCCGTTAGTTTTTCGTTAAGAGAAATCACATTTTTATTGGAAATGTCTCTCGAGTCTGAATGTTTTTTGATATTTTCAACGTTCTAGCACTCGATAATGTACTTTTGAATGACTGATTCTTATAGCATATTGGTTGAGGATTCCATTTATGTACGATAAAACCCAGCGCCGGTAATTTTTCCCAAAGAAAAATCATATTTTTACGAGAAAAATTTCTCTATCCCAACTAATTTTTGTTATTTTCAACGTTCTAGCACTCGATATTGTATTTTATATTGACGTATTCTCGTAGCCTATTGCTTGAGTAATCCACTGATATATCATATAACCCAGCGCCGTTAGTTTTTCGTTAAGAGAAATCACATTTTTATTGGAAATGTCTCTCGAGTCTGAATGTTTTTTGATATTTTCAACGTTCTAGCACTCGATAATGTACTTTTGAATGACTGATTCTTATAGCATATTGGTTGAGGATTCCATTTATGTACGATAAAACCCAGCGCCGTTAATTTTTCTTAAAGAAAAATCATATATTTAAGAGAAAAATTTCTCTAGCCTAACTAATTTTTGATATTTTCAACGTTGTAGCACTTGATAATGTACTTTTGATTAACTGATTCTTATAGCATATTGATTGAGGATTCCATTTATGTACGATAAAACCCAGCGCCGTTAATTTTTCTTAAAGAAAAATCATATTTTTACGAGAAGGTAATTTCTCTATCCTAACTAATTTTTGTTATTTTCAACGTTCTAGCACTCGATAATGTACTTTTGATTAACTGATTCTTATAGCATATTGGTTGAGGATTCCATTTATGTACGATAGAACCCAGCGCTGTTAATTTTTCATTAAAAAATATGTTTTTTGTTTTAGGTATTACTCTACCATACAAATATAATAATTTCAACAATCCAACACTCGATATTGTTTTTTTGATTGATGTGTTCTTGTACCCTATTACTTGAATCTATTTATGTATATGATTTAATCAAGCGCCGATCATTTTTCGTTAAGAAAAATTTGAATATATATTTTAAGTTTTTCTTTAAAGTACCTATATTCATAACATTTTTACAATTTTTTTTTCAAATAGATACGGATATTCTCACTTTGTTATTATTGTTATCATTACTAATATTATTATATTAAGAGAAATTAAGTAGTAATATTGCTTTACTTTGAGATATCTAACTTATATGCATTTTCTCACACAGGCTGCTAACTCTGGCTGCTAGTTTCAGCTTCATGGTTCACTGAGGTCGATTCTTTCTAACTCTTTCATCCACACTTGTATCTTCTATCTCCCTTCGTTTATCCTCGTTTTATATCTATACCTTTCTGAATATTTAAAACAACATCTTCTTTCAATAATTATAGGTGCGTTGATAAAATTGATACCATATTTAAAAACGATATTATTTATTAATAAAATTAAATTGCATTATATTTAAAAGCGTGGTTTTAAAACAATTTCAACAGGCTGGGTAAGTAAATCATAATAGACCTTGTAGGGAGGCCAAAATCTTTCGGGCAGAGACAGATAAAATTACTAGTAGTAAAAATATTCACCCCTGCGAATATTTTTACTACAATTCAAGTCTTTTCTGTGGGGATACGCACTCAGAAGCAATTTATTGTACAAGGCCCGTTGATACTTTATCTTTCTGGGAATATTTTCTCAATAACCGCTTCAGAATACTCCCCTCAAGACAAAGACATAAACACCAAGTATGAAAAACTAAAAATAAGAAAAGCAGTCATCACAAAGTTTTAATTAAAGTGTATGTGCGAGCCCGCACGTTGTAGTTTGTAAAGGAGCCTCAATTAAGGGGCCTCGCGAGCCGTGGTTTTCCGACCACTGGTCTAGACCAATAACATAAAAATTTGTTTGAGGCTGTTTAGACTAGTACAACCAGGAATGGTACACACATGGCAGTAAACTTCTCAAACATCTTAAACGTTTCTAACATATTTTTTAGTACAAACAATCTAAAAAACATACCTTTACACCAATCTCTCTGACCAGAGGAAGACTAACTGTACTGAGTTTCGGAAAAATTTGTGGAACTCTGGTAACTTCGAAATCAGGAATTAAATCATTAGGAGTTGTAGGCGGTTCCCTAAGATCATCTAACTGGATGTCTTGGTTGGATAGTTGGATCGATCTTCTGCTAAGATATTTAACTGGGTCTTGTGTATTACTGGACAGCTGTTGACCTATTTCTAGTGGATTTGAAAAGTCTGCATGTCTATTCATTTTTGATATAAATATATTATCAAACTGTATATGATAAAAAAATTTAAAATTATATTTTAAAGTAAAGTCATTATAAAATGACAGTTATGTCATGGAACATGTTGCTTGGTTATGTATACAATGAAACTGACAATTTAGTAGCTCTCGGTCACATACTGTAAAAGAAAATCAGTATGTGCTCTCGGTGCTCTCGGATACTTGGGGAAACAGGGTTGTCTTTAAGAAAAATAAATACATTTTATTAAGTCGGATATATTTTGTCCTACTTGGTTTGACCACTTCCTGAAATACGCAAAGCTAACTGCAGAAGAGCCGGTGCTACTTATACTGGATGTACATGCAAATCTTATAACTTGAGAGAGCTAGAAAAATCAATGTGCATATCCTTATGGCTAAGAAATCACCTTGGCAGGCCGATAACTATAAGGCAGGTTGGTAGGGTATTTGGAACCGCATATTTAAAGGCTGCAACTTCAAAAAATACTTTAAGTGAATTTAAAGAACCTGTAATATGGCCACTTAATCCAAACATATTTCCTAATGAAGCATTTACAGCGAGTGAGATAGTCAATAGATAATTTAATAACCTATTAACAAATTTTATTTCATTCATAACAATTTTGATGCCTTGGTAGATTTTCCACTCGACGATTCACTGTTGAGTAGTAATTAACAGTGGTGTACCTAAGGTGGCGCTGGAAAACAGTAACAAAGCTACACAGAACACGAGGTTAATAGCCTTAGTAGTCGATGCCGATGACACCAAATTAAAAAAAAACTTTTGTTTTTGCAGACCTAATCTACAAAATTATCCAACTATGAACAATATGGACAACATGTAGGTAAAAATTAGCTTATTGTTACCTATTTAATTCTTTTTTTTTCAGACCTGTACTGATGCGGTCTCGAATTTTTGAAGAAGATGATGTTCCTTTAAGAGAACTTAACAAAAACATGAACCCTAAAATTGTTAGCGCTAGTGTGAGGTTACACAATCAACTTCTTCCGGTAAAAATTATATGCCTGCCTCGATTCGACTTCAAGTTATTAATGAAAGCACTGTCATTATCTGAGCAAGATGATGTTAATTTATTGAAGTCAAAAAAATGCTTTAATAATTATAAAAATGGTAGGATCAGTGGTGTTTTAGATGAGATGCTGTTTACCCCAATGTTATGCAGTCCACAGGATATTATGCCCGTACTGGAATACACCCAGATTCAAGAGGACAAACCTCTGAGCTACAGGTGTAAAACAGCATGCCTTACTACTAGTTCCTAGTATAATAAATTATAAAAAAAAACACGCCAAATAAAAATGTTGTCAGTCAATAAACAGAAATATGTTTGAGAATAATAATGATAAAGAAAACCAAAGAAAACCGAATGAAACAAAAAAAATTGTTAAAACAATGACGACAGCGTCAAATTCAGATAATGAGCGAGTCGTCTTCCTCAAATACAAGCCAAGATATTTGTTTATTTTTAGCATAAATAAAATAATTTTCCACTTCACTAGTTTCCGAAGCTGGGCAAAGTGAAAAAAGTGTAGACCTTAAAAAAAAATACAAAAAACCCTTGATGAGAAACATTGCAGATAAGTATCATTTTTTTGTAACATAAACTTTCTATTGACATTTACTTTTTACATTATTGATAAGAATTTCCACTGTGCCCCACTCTCCCTTATGTTATTTTATTTTGGTTTGTTTTAATTTCAGTTACATTATCAAATGTATGAGTATTTATATTTTTTATTGTTTTCTATTGTTTCTTTTTGTTATTTATTGTTTTTTTATTGTTTATTATTGTTTTTATTGTTTTTTTTTTATTGGAGTTTGAATCTGTTTTGGAGTTTTTACAAGAAAAATATCTAATTGTAAAACAGATATTTATTGCTTAAATAATATCTTTGGTATTTTACAAAGTTAGTTTGCAGTATCCTGTATTGTGGAACATTGCTGACAAATACCTACCTTATCGCTTTTCAACCTTCATACCTAGTCAAAAAAGGCTTCAGTGTGGTTTAGACCATAACATATAACGTATTTAATAAATATGGTCCCCGTAAGGTTTTTTAATTATAATGTTCACCCTTTAATATCCCCGATACATTTTCGAGCAATTTTTAACTACTAATTTGTAAAAATTAAAGAAGAAAAATAACTATTTAAATTTAAAATTATTTATTTACTTTACAACTTATTGTCCTCCAAAAATGTTATCTTCTCTGGAACGTTTTTCTTCCCTCTCAACTCCGTTTGAATCTCTTCCATAGTCTTTAACTTCGTTTCTGGTAAAAATCGGAACACTAAACCGAATCCAACAAAAGCACAAGCGGAAAACAAAAAGAACGGTACATAAACGCCGAAATGTGTAGTAAACCAAGCGAACAATTTGATACAAATCGTACTGGCGAAGCTGAAAACTATATTAATCACGCACAATGCTATTCCTTTCATATTAGAAGGAAAAATCTCCGTAGTTATCACTACTGGTGTTAAATGTAAACCACTACAATAAGCTATTGTATACGTAGAAATAAATAGTAGTTGCAAAAAATCTATTTTGCTAGTATCTATATCAGTAGAAGTCTTTATGTATAAAAATACACCGTTTGCTAACTGGCTCGCAGCTGCTGTACCAGCTGCAAATAATACTAGGGGTCTCCTTCCAGCACGATCCGCCAAAACCAAGCTAGCAATAGAAGCTAGAAAGAAAATCAAATAGTAAATAATATTCGCTGTACCGGGATTTAAAAACTCTTTAGTTTCTATAAACAAAGTTTCAGCATAAGATTGTATCGGTAGAATTCCACTAAGATGCTGCGTTAAAGTCAACAAAAGTGATAATAATAAACATTTTCTATAAGTTTTGTTTCGAATTAAATCTTTGATTTTTCCTTCTTCGCCATCTTCTTCTATACCTTTTCCTATCCTTTTCATTTCTTCCGATACGTCCCATTTTCCTCGTAATTTTCTTAAACTTTTTCTAGCTTCATCGTCTTTTTGGCTAAGCATAAAATAGTAAGGACTGTCTGGTAGATTTGGCAGTATTATTAACATAAATATAGTAAAAATAGATGAAATATACGCAGTTGTTGATATACTCAAAAAGTACAGCATAACATTTACTAATAATAATCCAAGGCTAAGCGTCATCATGAAGGTTCCTGCTATAAAACCTCTAATATCAGCATCGGCAATTTCAGCTAAATAAGGTGGTACTACTGTGAATAACACCCCATCGGTTATACCAGCAATAACCCTACTAACGAATAGATTGATTTGTGAATCAGCAACTGCTATCAGAATCCAAGATATTGTTAATGGTAGAGCACAGAATAGTATCAGTTTCTTCCTACCAATTTTGTTTATAGTTGAGGCGGCTAAAATGTCACCTATTAAAGATGTCATCGGGATCATTGCTACTAACCAGGATGCTTCGTCAGGAGTGAGTTTGAAGGCGTAGTTACCGCTGAGTAAAATCGGCAACGCTGCTGAAGGCCAACCATAGTGTAAGCCAACTGATAATATTCCCAAGTTAACTGAAAAATAAAACAAAAATGATTATGGATTGTCTTATTTTAACGAGTGAAAATATGTGCGGGACGAGTAGATCGAGGTCCCGCAACGATTTAGATTAGATTAGATTAGGAGTTGAACGTTGTTTGTTCTTGTCCACCGCGACCTTTTCAGATCTATTGTGGGACTCTGTTTGTTTAACGAGTATGTCGTCTAGCTCGGTCTTTTTTTTAGACTTAATAGCTTTGACAGTGGCTCCCACATGTAATTGCATGCGTTTGGCTTTTCTTCGCCGTATATTAGAAAGTTGATTCCAGTCAGATCTTCACATTGCCACAGGACGTGGAATGATGTATCTCCTTTTTCTTACAGAACCTGCTGCACAAAGTTGCTTCTTCTGCTGGATTGATGACACTTTTAAAGCGACAGTGTCCGATAAGAAGACCTACTGTTATCCCAACGATTTGACGCTTTTGATCCAGTAGGTCTTTCGTGAACTTGGCCGATGGTTTCTTGATGAACTGTTTGGCCTGTCTTAGTCTTGGATAGTTGTTCCACCATTCCTGAAACTCTTTTTGCAAATATAACACTTCCAAAAAAAATTTCCTGGCTTCATATCATTTAGTTTTTATTCAATAAAAATAAACTTCTAATATTTGAACTTTCTTATTTCAAAATTTGGAGAATCCACACAAAAAAAGCCCATTATGTTTTTTAAATAGCAACATTTGCAGTTGAATATGAATATATAATTTTCTGGTTACTTTGTACTCGATATATATATATATTCACTATTATTTATAAAAAGCACACATTAATGTTTTTAATTCGAAAATGAATCGACACCCTTAATCATTAGAACTTCAAACTATTGACAACAGTGACCTTTTCTTATAACACAATGTGTACTAAATAATTAAAAGTTCTACTCTAGGCGACGTTTGTAGTGGATTTCGTCACCTTTAAGGCTTACCCGACGAACTTGCGCCAGGTAGACGCTTTTATCAACGGTATACTTTTTATTCTGTAAGGTTTCTTTTACGTAGAATTAAAACGATAGTCGCACTATTAAAGTAATCAAACTAGTATTTAATATTCATATACTCCGGGGGAGAGTATAGACTAACATTGATGGGTAACAGGTATCACTTTATTACTTTTAACAAGTTAGAATTGTTAAGTAAATTGCATTCTTCTGGGAAATTTACGCAAATTTCGCAAGAGTGGATATGTAATGATTTTTTGATTAAATAGCCACATACATAGTTAAATGCATTTTGAGTGGTCACATTTAGCTCCCTGTAGTCACATTCAGAAATCGTTATTGCCCCAACTGATTGTTTTGAAATATATTTAATTTTCATTAAGCGGGGAACTTGTTTACCCAAGGGAAAAACGAATCCCGGGATTCCTTTCCAGTGTGTGCCCTACTGTCGCTAGTGCCCACGAGCCGCCACTAGTTGCATTACTTTTAAGTACTAAAGGTTGTTATTTGTTCATAAACTATCACATTTTGGATAATACAAAGTTTTCAATTTGATTATTTAAGCAAAATTGTCACATTTAGAGTTACATCAATTTTCTCTAAAAAGAAGTGAGTCAACAGTCACGTGGAATCTCTAAGTACTTTGTGTTTGGGATTAGAATTTGTTATAATATTTATAATAATAATATACTATGACAAATATATGAGCATATTACAAACATTTTTGTGATTTTCAACTATTCACTTTAAGGCTATTACCAGCAAACCAATTTTAAGCTTTTGCTTTCACATGTAACGAATTGTAAATTATTCATCAAAATTTTTGTCTCAACATTGTAAGAAAGTATCATCAGCAAAAATCAGGCAGGTATATGAATTCATGTATTGCGCAAAATCATTTATATATATTATAAATAGAAGCGGTCCCAAAACCGATCCTTGTGAGACTCTTATAACTTATAATAATTGACTGACTTTTTTAAATCCATGGAGATGGATTTGCCCTTATATTTTCCATGTCTTCCACCACATGCCCCAGTTATTGATTAATTTTGCCTAAAACCGTATTGACTATTTCTAAAGTGATTCTAAATAACCTATATAAGGTTTAATAATCAATTTTTATTTATTTCTTCTATTATTTAAACTTACAAAGCACTGTATATTTTTTCATATTCACTACATATTTTCTTTATCCAACTGTTGTATATACTTTGGATTTTCTTCTTTTCTTTACTAGTTATACCAGATTAGAGTTATTGATAACCTTCACTCACTTATGTTATTATTTACCTTTTTAGTGGAATAATTTAAAGAGAATTAATTATTTTTTCTAAAATGTATGGAAAAATACCTAATAACATCACGGCCGGCCTTCACAGATCCTCCGAAAATCAATTTACAAATAAAATAAACAATATAGAGTGCCTGATTTTAAACATATAGAGTGACTGATGATAAACATTTTAAGTAAAGATTCTTGTTAAGGTATAATCCGACCAATTAAGTCTTTCTCTGAACCGAAGACTCATATACAAGATCTTGCATGTGCGCCACTTAAAAAAATACACTGAATTTAGGTTATTAATTTCTTACCCAAAATGATAATTAATGTTGGCAATAAGTGAATCTATATTATAATAACATGTACAATTTATCCCAACTCTGTTTAACTAGTCATATTTGTAATAAATAGAAATAACTGCAATTTGGTAAAAAATGAAAATACATTTTTAAAAACAGAAACTCCGTAACCATATCGCTACCTTGGAATAAAACTGATGCAACTTAAACATTTTTGCATATGTGCTACCCAAATCTAATGAATTTTTATATGTAAAAATACTACTAGGACCAGTTACTTCAGTTTTGAAATCTGTAAACTAAGCAACTCCATTCGTGACAAAACTGTTACATATTTAGTTGTTTGCTAATAGTTTTGAGTATTGGAGGTTATTATTTGATCAAAAACTATGACATTTCGGAAAGTACAGAGTTTTCGATCAGATTATTTAAGTAAAACCATCACATTTAGAGTTATACCAGTTTTCAATAAAAAGAAGTATTGACCAAAATAATTTAATAATTAATTTATTTTTCTTTTAGTTATAATGCTAGAAGATTTTTGTTTTAAGGTCCTTGATCCAATCTATGTCCCTAATCAAAATGTAAGCCTATTAGGTTCAGTAAAAAAACTGACAATCCAAAAATAATATACAGGCTGTTTTAAAATGTTGGTCGTTCCTAAAATTAATTATATTTGTGAGTATCTTCTTTAAATTCAACAATCGATTAGTTATTGTTTAAAGAAGGCATTTCAATTTTGATTTTAACCAGAAAGTTTGAAACATATCTTTAAATTTGTGTCGGTGTTCTTCCAAGGTAGCGATATTTACTTACTTGATATTTAGCATTAATGTATTACAAATTAATGGACTAGAAATAAATCACTGTTCGTTTCTTCGCTTCGCACGACCTTGCCTAACAAACCTTCTTGAATTTATTAATATGTAGGTATCTGCTTACTTCATGCCGTAACTTTTGAACATAGCACAATGTATAATATGTTATATATTTAACTAAACCTGTTTTTAATTGAATAGGAATTCAAGAATGCGCTTATACAATTATTACATTTTTTTATTGCAAGATACACTGAAAAAAGTTAATCGATATTCAATATAAGGATTACTTCTTATTTGAAAAAATAAAACTGAAAATTAGTTTTTATTTTCGAATACGTGAATTTTTTTTAGTATTAAATAAATATTGAAATGAATAGTAAAAAGAATAAAAAATACATTAAACATTAAAAACATTAAAGAAAAGAGTTTTCAATAATTTTCTGGGATATTATTGTACATATCAATGTTATAGGTGAAAGACCGTCTGAAAATAGCAGTATTATGTATTGGAGGTGAGATACAACCACAAAAACGTAGATTTAGATTATAAACATCAGAACGATACCTTGAGTGATGTGAATAAAAAGTAACAAAGGCTAACACTAACACTAATTTATTGCAGTTGCAACTTGACAATTTGTAAGTCTAAACGAGACCACACTTAGATTTTTGTTATTCGTAAATATCCCTACCATGGAGATGTTTATGCAAGTACGAGAAAGAAAAGTTTATGGTGAAAGAAGATTAGTGACAAGATGTACGGAAGTGATGCGTTTTGAGAATGAAAGTATTAACTTTTTAATAACAGAATTCTTGCCAGGCAGTAATGAAACTCGAGGAAAAGCTCTGACTACAAGAAATCGCATGGACATTTTTTTACGCTACATTGCTGACCCTGGTTTTCAGAGTGGAGTATCGGAAGATTTTGGAGTGGAACGCTGGAAAAAGTATTGGCTTTTCTAGTCCAACTACCGATATTTGTGCAAAATGTACTAGGTTTAAATACTTGACCAAAAGTGAAGTTGATACAGGGGGTTACAAATCGAACTTACAATTTAAAAAAAGTGGGCTAATGCTTTTTATAGGCTGCTAAATGAGAACCCTAAAAATTCAATTACTTCTTGCTTTGATCTTCAACAAATTCAGCCCAAAACCCCAATTAATGATGCGTTTTATGCGCAACAAGTTAGCATGTATATTTTTTGTTGCGTGGACAGTCAATCCAAAAAACCAACTTTTTTTACTTGGACGGAAGATATGGCAGGAAGAGGATCAATCGAGGTAGGATCTACACTTTTAAGTTATTTGGATTCATTGAATCACCACAGTTTGTCTATTCTGCGACGGATGCGGAGGACAAAATAAAAATAATCATATTTTGCACACTCTATACTTCCGGCTTAGATTTAAAGCACCAATAAAAGTTACAAATTTACAAATTAATCGAATTAAATTACGGATTTTGAGCTTACATTAAATTGTAATTAGATGAAACAAAATGGATTCTATGTATTTTGAGGTGATCTTTTCGAAAAAAGGCAAAACAAAATGTAGCAGTTTTTCGAAAGTGCCGAAATTTTGGATTTTGTCAATTTTTCAATTTTGCGCAGGCGCATGTCGGAAATAAATCAATATTTTTAAAACGCAGTTTGCGATATTTGAAAGCTTAGGAAAAATACTAATTTTTATGTCTCTTGAGAAATTTTGATCCGATGCACCCGTATGGACGATTGAAATTTGTTTAGTATTTTGAGGCGACGAAGGTCGAAAAATTGAATTTGTTAAATGTTCAAACACTAAATTCTTTATAACATTGGTAAAAATTAAGATATTTGAAAAAACAAAAATGCATTTTGAATTTAAGGGATGTGACTAGTGATTCCCAGAAGGGGGCAAGAGAAATCCCAAAATTGGGCATATGGCGGAAGGGCAAAATGCACCGCGGTCCTAATTTCATTGTTTGCCTATAACGGCCAAACTATTTAAATTTTTTTAATGCCACTTACAAAGCTTACTCTTAAATGTGAAATCTTATGTGTGTGAATTTCACCGACATCGGACCATAATTGGCTAAGATATCAAACAATTAAATAATTTTTTTTTTTCCAAAAAAAAATAATTTTTTTTTTTTCGAAAGTTTGAAGTGGCACAAAAATGCCAAAAATGCACCCAATGGCTCAAAACTTTTTTTTTTGAGTACTCTATTGTGTCTAGAATACGATTACATTACGGAAAATTCTGCAAATATATTTTATCTATTTTTTTGACCACTGTTCATTGAGTGGCGACCAAAAAACACGGTTTTTGAGAAAAGTTGCCTAAAATTGACAATTTTTAGTTTTTTTTATCTGAAAATTAAACAAACCCAAATTTCGTGTCTTCTAAATGTGTATACAAAGTTTAAAGTGTGTATGTTACTTCTAAGTTGTAGAATTCTCCCGACAAAAGTCCCATTACACGCGCTCCGCGGGATCCAAAACTCGTGTATACACTACATTACTGTAATTTGATTTTTTTGCGATTTCCAGTTTTAAATTTCTTGCATATCTAAATTTATTAGGCTTAAAATTTATTAAGTTGTATTTTACTGACTTGTTATAAGACGTTTCTTGAGTTTTGTGCAAAATATAGAATTACCAGATATTAGCGAACAAAAAGCAAGCTTATCACCAAGTTGGAACTTACACTCAGGCTTAGGATTAATTTCCTAACATTTTTAAAGTATACCTTTTTGTGTATTTTTTTGTGCTCTTTTCGATGGCGAAGTTAGTTTTTTCAAATATATTTATTTTGTTAGATGTTTTCGGAAAACCCGGAAAAAATCACATGGGAAAAAAATTAAAAAAAAACTACGCCTCTGGTTTCCTGCGAATTCCCGAAAAATTATGTCAGATTTCGCCGCGGGATTTATTTTATTTGAGAGCCAACAAAAAAATACGCAACTTCTCTCATGGGCACATATGTCTAACATTTATAATTTCGCCACAAATTCATCGCAAATTTCATGTCCATGGTTCTGATCAAAAAATCGAAAAAACGACTTTTTGGTAAAAGCACTTCTGGCGGCGAGAAATTCGCCATTAAAACTACCTGTGCAATGAATTTTCGAACTATTTTTGCCTCCTCTTTCGAATGATGCATTTATTTTCACTATCGGAATGATACTTGCCCAGATAATTAGCATTTTTACAATGGAAAATTCCGGAAAACCCGGTTTTTCCTAATTTAAAAAAAATTGAAAAACTGCTACATCGTTTTTTTCTTTTTTTCGGAAAGATCACATCAAAATACACAAGGTCCTTTTTGTTTCATCCAATTACAAATTAATGTAAACTCGAAGGGGCTTTTTTTCGTTATTTAATTGGACTAAATAGTTTTTCCAGTAAGAGGTCACTCCTTCCTACCAGCCGATAGATTATTTGGGCGGGTGAAAAAACTTCTAAGAAAAAAAGCTACAATCCTTCCAAGAAAGCATTATGAAGAAACTTATGAAAAAGTTGGAGTAGTAAAAAGACTAGACATTGACTGGAAACTTTTTGATGTAAAAACACTCCAAGTAGGTTTAAAAAGGATAAAGGGCTATCAGAAATTAAAAGAGTAGTTTTTCAAAAATTTAACGATGGAGCGTTGATTAAAATATGCATATTTGAAAACTTTTACTACTGCTCAGAAACAGAAAAGTTTGAAAAATTGTTGAAACCTAAGTTTTCGGATCTAGATTTAACAATAGTGGAAAAAGATACTAAACGGGGTATTCCAGAGAAGAAAAAAAAATCTCTTCAGCATTTGCTAAATCAGTCATTTGGTCTGAATTGGGAGGAGTCAGAGGATCTGCAATGGTATCGGACATTACTTCATGGAAATACATTACCCGATGAAGAGGGGATCCCATTGTTGAACCGGAAGGTATATACGACTGTCTTGAAGAGGAAGTGGCTGTTCATATTTAGTTTTTTTTTTTTTAAAATGTTTTGTCCAAACTCTTTCTGTGTTAACTGTATGCTCTTGTTATATCATATTCACTGTTTTGCTTTGTGCTATGAATAAAATATCTATTTAATCGTATATATTATCTATTTCTATTATCACTATATTGATAAGGATAAGATAAAATCAAATAGAGTTTTAAACACACGTCTCTTATAAAGCCACAAAAACTTATTTTTCAAGCAAAAACCGAAAAATCCAAAAAAAAAAACTAAAAAAAATAAAAACAAAAATACAACGATTATGAAATTTTGGGACAATCAAAGACAAACCAAAAAGAGCAAAACCCTTTAATAAATTTTTAAAAATACCTAGCGGATTTCGCTGTATATGTTTTTCACCAATATCTCAAAATCAGTAAAACTGGATTTATCGGTATTTGCCTAAAATTAAAGAATGATGTAATACCATGTACATTCTCAAATCTCCCTTTATACAATAAAAAATCTGTTAACTGTGTTTTATTTTACTGTTAAAACTAAATATTGGTTCAATTCAAAAAAAAATTGTCACAAAATTGTACTTTTTAACATTTTCACATTTAAGAAACCTTTTCGAATTTAGTCATACATACCTAATTTGTATGTTATATAGATAAAATTAAATAATTTATCAATTAAAACATACAAGACTTATTTAGAAATAAATACAACAGTATGTTCTGTGCTTTATTTAGCTATTGACAAGTTTATTTTTATTATTTTGACAAAATTATGTATAATTCCCATAAGAAGCCATGTATTTTGAACACCGTAGGCAGTACCAGCGCCCATGCGGTTAATTATAGAAGCTCAATCAGCATGCGTTTTTTGGGACCTTATTTTGAGTATGCCGATTCGTCTCCTTATCTCTAGTCTTCATAGTTGAGAATAATATGATTTATGTAAATGAAATGATGCACAGTCTGAACATCTGTCAAAGTTATGCCAGTAAATGTAAATGAACTTTTTTGCAACTAGCTGAATTCTATACTTTTATGTTATTTAGTGTTTATAAATAAATGAAACTAAATAAAACTCACCACCAAAAGCAGCTGTGTACTGATATAATCGCGATTTAAACTTGGGACCTTCGATAACTTCTTTCATTATCTATTTCTTTTCACGGTCACGTATCAACTGAAATATGTTTTTAAATCATTTTGAAAATTGGCTTCTGCTGCACAACAAGCGTACTCTACTGATTTCTTACATTCTAATTTCTATTTCTTTATACCTACTAGAAGAATTGATATTCAGAAGGTAAACGTATATGAATATGAATCTTACTCAAATTTGTAGTAATAATAAATAACATTAATTTATTCTCTCGAGAAAAATATACGAATTCTGAAGATAACCTCATAATTTGACGTATGTTATTTGTCTTTGACCCGTGGTAAATTTAATACTATTAATCATATAGACGTCTGCAAGTGATTGGGATTTTTTTTAATTATATTTATAAATTTGAGTGAAAACGGAAATATTTAAATATCGTATCATTTTGATTATCATTAATTTCTGCTGTTTCACATTCCTCTATGTCTACTAAAAAGGCAAACCTCGATAAAAAATTAATATCTAGCTCTTTAAGGCGACGCACATAGGGGTATTTGAACGATTTATGTGGCCAAAATTACTTCTTGGTCTATATCGATTTTAAACGATATTAATAAATAAAACAAAGGTTTTAATGTTTAACTAACCTATATTTATTAATAAAAAATATAGATATACATTATTCGTATAAATTTTTATCTTCGCTTTCTGAAGAATTACCAGCTTCAAGCGGCTTTGCAGACATTAGTAAATTAATTGTTTTTGGAAAAAATACTTCATTTTTCTTCTTTTAACGTTACTCATGCTACTTAAGTTAAAAGGGGGTCTGAACTTGGAATCAGGCGATTAAAAATATCCCTGTTACAATTTTTTGTAGAGAATTTTCGCGCGAAGACTTGGCGGTATGAGCAGAAATGCTTGTTACGTGCTTCCGCGGCTTCTTCAGACAGCTGCCCAAGAGGCAACAATGCAGTTTTTATTATAACTGCACCATGAATAAGTATTTGATGCATCGTTGGTGTCATTGGTTGCAAAGGGTACATCTGCACATATAAGCGAGCAGCATCTAATGGGTATTTGTCATATTTTTCCGGATCAATTTGTGTGTCTGCTCGAAATCGTTTTTAGTATGATATTTAATTTATATATTAGGTCATAACTAATGCCAGTTATTTCGGAAGCCACTTTCGGTTCTTCAAAAAATCTTCGGCTCGTGTTTCCATTATTTGTGTTGCCAAAATTTGCCTTTGGTATATCCACCAACAAACCAGTTTTATTGCGAAATGTTTCTGGATTTTCAGTTTTCTTTCTTTTTCAATATTGTTTTTTCGTTTCTCTTTTCTCTCTCTGTATTTTTTCACTGTCAATTTATAAGCCAAGTGGAGAATGCTTTGAAAAAGACGAATCGTTGTATGTAGAACTAAAAGCCAAAACTCTGTAGCTTCTTAAATAATCTGGTTTTTAAAATCTAATGGGTTAAAGTTTTTAGAGGTTGCACCACATATGTAACATCCCTCTACCATTGTCATAATGAACACATGTTTAACCAAAAATTGTGTTCCATTTAAGTCCGCCTCTGTTGCGTTTAGCGACTTAGCAGATTTTTTCACAAAAGTTAATTCTTCCGTTATGTCAGTAGTCTCTTTAACGAATCGGAATCTTATAGGTTGACAATATCGTGAAAAAGAGGGAGTTGGGTTTGCCCATACAATTTTTTCATCTTTACCACAAACCAATCATAGACGAACGAAACAACTCTGAAATATGTTCGCTTCTGAGTCGGCATCATTTTCAAATTTTTGTTTTACCTGAGATTGCTGAGATCCATCGCAACGCCATTTACAGTTATCTCATTCTTGTTCTTTCAATAATATCAGGACCTCTTTTAGGAATATTGACAAGCGCATAACTGTAAGGTCAAATAAAGGCTGTAAATCGCTCTCCGCACAGGTACTAGTTACTCTGCATGATTCTGCGGGTGTTTTACCTTTTGTAAAAGGCTATAACAAGGGAATTTTATTAGTATTTCTAATTATTTCATATTGTCGACGAGTTAAATCAGCTTCTACGAATATTGATAATGTTTGTAATGGAGTAAAAGATCAAGTTTATTCACGCAAATTAAAATACATTTATAAGTATAACTACAAGCTAGGTAGTCATTTTCTTTAAACGTCTGTGGCTAACAGATTTAATTCTAAGCCAACTCCCCTCTCTCTCTCTCACACACACACACACACACACACACACACACACACACACACACACACACACACACACACACACACACACACACACACACACACACACACACACACACACACACACACACACACACACACACACGCAAGTTTATTCACTTTTTGATTTAGAAAATGCTTTTTTATATTTAGTTGCAAGTGTTGGAGAATTGGTGAGATCTTTGAGTACATCGGAAGCATTTCGTTTTCCAGCTTGCTGCAATTCTACTTGAGCAGCATGTATGATTACTTCTTTATCTGAAGTAGATCGAATCTCCTCAGTTTTCCTTCTTTTAGTTCGATTACTTGACTCTCCAAATGACTTACGTGGCCGGCCTGGCCGATTTTATGTAACCAAGAGAATTTCAAAAGTTCCGTTTAGCCATGCATCATTGTATTTGTAAAATACGTCTTCCTTTCTATGTGCTTTCAACCATCTTTCTTTCACTTGAGACTTAAAGGGTACGTAACTGCGTTTGAAATACTCAATTTGATCTTCGGAGTATCCTTCACACGACAAAAGTCTCGTTAATAGGCCTACTAACAGTTTTTCCTATTATGGCTTAGAAGATATTCAGTGTGTTTTGGTCATGGTTTTTTTAAGAATTCTTTGGCATGTCTGTTTTGGGGAATTGTTTCACTATTCCTAAGGATATTTATTTAACATTTACTGCTTTGTGACAACACAGAAAGGTTATGAGCAAAGCAGGGCCTTTGAGGCACCTTCTCGTTCTAGTAAATTGGCCTTTTTATTACCCTAATGTCTTCTAAGATTAATCTATTTTGACTACTCAGCTCGGTTAGGGTTAGGGCTTCTAAACAGTCAAACACAGGGTAAATGACCAATTATTTTTCTATATCTCTTTTTCGAATTGATGTATTGCTGTTAGTTTTACCTGGACCTGGAATACTGTCGCATGTTTATCTAAGCTCAGTGAGATTCTTAATTTTGTCTTGGCATACAGCTAAATATACTAAATATTTAGCTTCAAGGTTCAGAAGATCTGAAATTAAAAGGCCTCGGTAATATTTATATTGGAAGATAAACTCAATGTGTTCATTTCTAAAATCGACCTCTGGATAAACAATGGTGAAATAATAATTTATCTGTCTTTGAAACGCAGAAGCTTTTTATTGAGGAACAGTTTGATTATATTCGAGTAAAAATAACAAAAAATAAATTACACTGGTATTTACCCAATGAAATACAAGAAACAGTTATTGAATTGTAACACGATACACGATAACTGTAAGGATACATTCGAGACAGAAATTAAACTTGAAGAATTTTGGATTCAAAAAAAAATTCTTTTCCGAAATGATAAAACACATTTATCTAGGTACTTTACCTCAACGATGTATGATTTTTCTTTCATACTACCCAGCATTTCCCATTTGGTTGTCAATAATTTGGCATTAAACTATATTTTTTTCACATGAAGTAGTTCAAGAAGCATTTCTTGAAATAGACGCTTTTAATTAGGCATTCCAACGACCTGTCCAAATGGCTACCAGTGGGTAATGACAGTTTAGATATGGCAACCCTGTTGTCATGTTGTCATTAACAGGGTCAATGATACATATATAGTTATATAGATTGTTCAAAGCTGGTCGTTTACGAACGGCCATATTGCCTGGCAAATATTTATTAATTTGAATCTGTTTAGCAAAAATGTGTTTTAAAACCAATTTTTAGCCTTTAGATATTTAAAAAAAAATATTTGCTTACATTTTTACTTCAAGGCATAAGCTTATGTTTATTTTGAAAAATATGGATGATCAATCTATGTAACTATCTATTTAATTGACCTTGTCAAATCACCAGGCCTACAGGGTTGCCATAATTTTGCCATATCATAACCCATCAGAACCCACTGGTAGCCATTCAGTTTGGAATGCCTAATATTGTCTTTCAAACCAAATGAAACCATGCAGGTGAATGTCCACATGGGATCCTCACATGGTGGATTCATTTCTTCTTTACTGTGGAATCTATTGGCAGATATACTTCTGAGAACACTAAACAATCCAAGGATTTTCCGAAGACGTACCAAACCACGAACTCATGTAAAGATCTCTATGGCTAACAAAAATGTGGTGCATTGGGGAAATTCTCTGTAAAGCCTGATAGAGTACAACTTATAAGAACTTAAAACAAGATTAGCGGTCCTAAAAACTCCCGCACTGTTTGGAGTAAGCTTAAAAACAACAAACATAGTAAAATATCTGGATCTAAACCTAAATAGCAAACTATATTCTTATAACCGACAAAGTTGAAGATAAAAAAACACAAAATCTTAAAAGGTTTATTTAAAAGTGATATAATTGAAATCGTTAATTACAATATCAATCAAAAACAAGAAGAGAATGTTGAACAAAGTCGAGGCTAAAAAGTAGGTATCCTCTATTCATTTGTGTTTATTTTTTTGCCTTGATCTATCTGGTTTTCGCATTGTCACAACTTTGATCTCCTTTGGGACAAGAACAACTGGTACCTGTAAACCCGAATTGACATAAACATATACCTGAAACGCACGTTCCATGCCCAGAACATATTTTTCCACCATTATGTTCACACGAATAATTATCAGATTCACAATACTTTCCATATATTACCTGAAAATTAAAAATAAAATAGTAGTTTGTGCAGCAAGAGTGGTTATGTTGGTTTTATCGCACGAAGACGAAGTCTAAGGCCGGCCCCAGACAATGCGTGTATTCGGCGAATGTGCCTTCGTATTGCGCCTTCGGCATGCCATCGGTTATCTTCCCACACACTGCGGCATTTGGGAAATGTTCTGATGTTGATAAACGTTCACTTCACCCCAGGGCCCAGGGCCTCAGTATAAAAAAGTAGCGGAGAGCAGTGAGTAGTGTTTTTCCTAATAACGAAATAAATAATACAACACGTCGCTAAACTTGGCGCGACTCTGACTAAAGACAGAATAGGTAATCACTAGGCGTAGTTGAGCACACTGTGAGCTAATGCGAATGAGCGCGAAGGCAAGGCACTTCGCCTTCCTTTGCTACGTGCCGTTTTACCGACAAGACTATGGAGAGCAGGCGAATGTCGAAGAACAGGTGCAGTGCGCGAAGGACCGCGTATGCCGAATATTCGCCAATTAGGAAGCGTGCTCTATCGTTTGATTGCTATACGGACAATCCTCTCGAGTTGCATATTTTTTCCAAGACCCAATAAACTAATTTCAAAAATTTTAAAAATTAATATAAAGTTCATTAAGTTAATATATAGATAAATTGTAGAGGGTAATTAACTGCTCGAATTTGACCAAAATGTCTTTATTGTTTCAAATGTAAAAGAAAGTCTGCATATTAATGAAGTTTAGATTGAAGTAATGTTTTTTGATTTCCTGAACTATCAAGATTCGTCTTTCCCTTTTGATGGTATAGTTCAAAAGTCCATGGCACATACAACTTTGAAGGAACGATATAACTTATGTCTTCTTCCTGTCGATCATAAGTCTGCTGTACTATTGGTCAGATTGGCGTTATGTGGCCATTTTCATAAATATTTTTATTTTTATAACAAATGTTTCCAAATGTCAAATAAGCAATGGATACTCTTTATGTTCGTTTCAGACATATCGATATCATTCATCACTACTATTAATACCTACTTAAATACAGAAAAATTAATTCTTACTTCTTCTGGATTTTCTCTCATCTCACAAGTGCAAGATCCACAAATACACGATCCACGTCCACTACAGACTTCAGTATTATTAAGAAATATGCATTCAGATTCTTCTTGATGATTAGCACATTCACAATGCTGCCCGAAATAATTTTCGTTACAATAGCAAATGCCACATTCTAAAGTCCCACTGTTTGAACAATAAGGAGATTGTTTTTGTGGAGTCTGAAAATAAAATTTATATAATTACTCAGTTATATTTGGGAATAAACAATCGTAATTTTAACAGGTGCTTAATAAATATTAAAAGATATAATATAGTTGAAGGGTTCACATCAAAAACCATCAAGGTCCACGAGATGAAACTTTTCAGGAATGCAAAGTGTACAAAATATCAAAATAGCAGGCATATTTATAGGAAATGACAATTCTTCAAAAGCATACAGAATATGGAATTAAAGAAACTGATGAAATTCTTACAGGCCGTGATGGAAATTTTTAAAAAGATGTTTTCCCATTTAGTTAAGTTATTTTGTGACATTATAAAGACGATGAAGATCCAAGGGAAGTAAATTTATGCATAAAATAAAAAAACCCACTGACTTTTAGTGAAGCTTTTTATAGTAGAGACAACATATTTTGGAAGAATGCCATGGTTAAGGAATTTGAAAATTCATTAAGAACCCAAACCTCGACATTTGTTGAAATGCCAAAGTTCAGAAAAGTCATACTATCAGACGCAATATTTTATTTAAAATACTCTGCTGAACAAACAAAACTGACACGTACTCAGAGAACTACTTAATGTAGAGGCTTTGGTAGAGGTGTAAAAATTGTTATTTGATAAGTCGTTTCAACGTTTGTTGATAGTCGACAATGCTATTTTAATTGATGATATAATTTGGGAAAAATTATTTAATGTAATATTTACTTACATGATGGCAATCACAACTGCAAATTACATGCATCTCAACTATTAACGCATCTACTTCACTATCTGGGTAAAATTGGATGATTTCGGAAGTCTCTGTTGTATTTGGATTACATATTTTGGCTTCTAGTTTAAGTTTGTAGGTACTTAAATTATACTTCTGTAAAAAAATATTCGATATCAATTCAATAAATAGGGATTCTTTGAAGAATTGGGCTTAATTCGGTCTGTTGCATTCCTAATTAAGCTAAATAAATAAATAAATAAATAATATAAAAAATACATATTTTCAACATCATGGTGCACCTGCACACTATCACAGAATCATTAGACAATATTTGGATACCGTTTTCCCCTAGAGATGGATTCGCCGAAAAGGAACAATTGGGTGACCGGCAAGATCTCCCGACTTAACTACATTTATGTATTTCAAAGAAAATACATTGTTGCCAGACTTTTTTTTTACCCCGTATAATTATTTTTTACGTTTTATCGACTAGATAACAGAGAGATGTTGAAAATTTTGATAACGTCCGCCACTAATAGTGACAAAGACTTATTGCAAATGTGAAGTTTTGACATTAGAGTCTTTATACATATTTCTAACCTCATTTTAAAAATTTTAAATTACAGTTTAGCTTTTTTGTTGTCTATAATAGTCCATTAGAAATTACCATTTTAGAAGGTTTAGATGACGATGATATTAAATATTTAATATTGAAAAACTTCGAACTGAAGTTAAGGAATACCTACACCACTGGTAGCTTTCCTTTTCGTTCAACCTGATAAGAACCGGCATACTGATGTGTCAGGGATTCCCGGCATTTATTTGTATACAGACCAAATAAGCCATTAATAAGACGTCTTAAAGATGTCCCATTTTGTAACTTCAGACGTCTTCTAAGACATCTTAAAGACGTCTTTTAGGAAATATTAGACATTTTAAAGACGTCTCATAAGTCTTATACTAGACGTCTTAAAAACATCTTTAAGACGACTTTGTGCTATCTGGAGTATTATATATTAATATATATATTAATTACAGATTATATTAATAAACTTACCTCGTCATATTCACTTTTCTCTAATTTTATTGATACGATTTCTTCTGAAGAATTATGTTTCATATTAATTAAGGTTTGAGTTGCTATTCCATCTTGAACTAACGATGACACATGATCAATAGATTCTGTATTAAGTTCTATAACGGCGGATCCTTCAATAGCCTGTGAAATATTCTTATAAGTTTGTAGTTCACTTTTAGTAACAGCAAATATTATGTTAATGTTGTTTTCTTTTGCTGTTTCATTTATTTGAAATGTGGATGGATAGTCTATAAGTGACGATTGTGTGTAAAACTCGTTATCCAAATGACAATTTTGATCATTTAGTTGGGTAATGTTAGCCTGCTGGAAACGAAAAATTTATTTAGTATACATATTCAAAAAAAATATTGGTACTATAATTGCTGCGTTTGAGAATCCACATCGGATGCATCTGAGATGTAAAAAATCTTTGATCACGTGATTCAGTATACGTAAATGTAATGGGACAGATGTGTCCGATGTGGATAAAAAAACGCTCGAGATGTAAAAAATGCATCCGATGTGGATTCTCAAACGCAGCACATGAATAGTAACTTAAATGTATTACTGGTTGCCTACACTCAGTAAATAATTTCCCTACACTCGCAAATGATGGGCTGCGTAATTATAAAGGAAACGACGAGGGTGTAAAAAAGGAAGAGTTAAGTCCAATATACAACGCCCACATACTTTGATTTTCTTTTACTATACGGAGAATGGTCGCACTGCGCAGCTTTCTGAGTGCCTTTTAAAAGGAGATAGAAAACTCCGCCATTTTGAACTCTTATTACGTGTTGCCTACATCTTGGCGCAATATTTTTAATAGGTGCGTTTTAATCATCCGCTTCTGCTTAGGAATTGTCGGTTTTCTTGTTTTAATCTGACAGGTTAAAACAACTAAACCGACAATTCCCTATTGTATTATCTAAGACAATTCCGGAAGCAGAAGCGGATGATTAAAACGCACCAGGGGCCCTATCCTCGGCTATCGTTTTCTAAAAAACGTATACGCTTTAGCAACATACGAGCTATTCGCTATTCTCGACATTCGTTTTAAAAGCGTGTACGCTTTTAAAACGGGTGTTTTATAGCGAGCGGAATTTTTCACACGTTTTTGATAAAACGTGCATGTGTTCAAGGATTTAGTGAATGTCACTTATTTGTCACTTTTAGGACGATTAATAATATTGATTGATTTTAACAAATTCTAGGTAAACTACTATGTATTAATACCTACAAAAGTATCTAATTTCTTATAAATATGGTTTGCAGTACTAAAGAATTTCTTTCAATTATATTATCAATAATTGTACAATTAGAAAACTTAGAAGATAAGAATCCTTAAAGATTCAGACTTGCAGAGGCAGAATCCAGTTTTTGATTTTAACTGATATTGAATGAATATTTTTTATATCTTACCGTGTAAGAATTTAATTATTAATTCATGTATATTTTATTTACAAATGTTAATATGCTTGCGGTTCAAAGCTCTTCTGTATCACACGTTGTGTCCAGAAATTTTTACAATTTTGTAAAATTGCCACAAAATATTAAAGAACTGAATAAGATAAGCAAAGTTATTAGTTAAATGAATTTTTTACTATAAAAACTAGGTTTTTATGACGTACGATTTTCCTAGAATTATAGGTTGCATTAACTGCACCCGTATAGCTATTTTTACGCCAACAATTAACGATTCAGATTATCCTGAACATCGATATATATTATGTGATTAGAAAAAATGACCGTTCGACAAATTTACAATTGGTTTATTGTAATTAAATTACATAATTCTTATTCTTTTATGGCCTGCACATTACTTGAATTCAACGATATAGACAGTTTACAGTGATGCCAGACATATTATTTGCTTGTTAAAAACGTACACGTCTTAAAAAACGAATACTCATCGAACGTCAGTCAAGAATATAGATTTCAAAAACTATTCGCTTTTCAACCACTCACTTTCGAAAACGGTTCGTTTTTTTAGCGATTGTCGAGGATAGCCGCCCTGATATTTTGCTTGCTGCTGTCAGTGTCAGTGAATATTATTTTTGGAGTCACAGTTTATTGCTAAACAATCAGTTAGCTCACTGGGGCCAGTTGAAAGTTCTAAAATAACATCCACTCCAGGGATACAAATTCAGGATACGCAGAAGACTGCTGTTTTATTATAGGCGGTTGTCATATATTGTATTATCCGAGTTGCACAGTGTATAAACTGAAACATTGAGATCCAAAGTGCCGACGCAGAGTGAGCGATCTGATTCTTTAGCTGTAAACTGTGTCACAGGGTTCAAAATGGCCGCGCCCTATGTTGGGCGTGTCGGACCTCTCTCTTCCCTCGTATAGTAATCAAAGTATGTGACAACGCCTTATAAATGACAAGTAACAATGGTTTTTCAAACGAACGTTTTCCAGAGAGAGACATTACATAAGAATTGCATTCTGTGGAACAAAGGTAGGCGTCTCAACATGGGCCGTATTGAAAGATGAGTAATCCCAATGATGAAGTATTAGGCAAAAATAAAAACCTATTTATGGCGGTTTAGGTTTTAAATAGTATAAATAATATTAAAACGTCCATCATTTGTTTTACTTTTGATGAATTAAATACAAATATTTAAAAGTTAAGAACTTTCCAATATTTTTTTATTTTTGCCTAATTAATTCAGGAAACTTTTGTTAGATTTAAAAATGTACTATCGATGAGGTGGCGCCATCTAAGGTGGTGATAACCAGACATTTGCAACCGTGCTAATTCCAGATATATGTTTTATTAAACTCATCGTGTTACGTATTTGTTGACATTATGAGATAGAAATGTAAAGTGACGTCTTGTATTACTTCGAATAATGCGAAGTTTTCTAACCTAAAAAATGGCGATTGATACGTAAAAAAAGTTGAGTTGGGTCTTAAGTAATTTCTAATAAATTGTAATATTTGCTATCATTGTAGTCATTTGTTTTTTTAAAATTTTGATCAGAAATAAGTAATTATTTTCTATTTGTGATTATACCGGGTGTTCAAATTAAAGTGTTATAGGTAAATTCCGCCGGAAATATGCATTTTAGAAAAAAAGTTTCAGACAAAAGTGTTATAGTTTTTTGGGGGAAACATTTTGGCTAAATTAATTTTTTTATAGCTGATATGGCCATATCGAGGTGGACTTTGTTTTTTTTTTTTTTTAATGAGAATCCCATTTTTTTACATATTCTTAAAGTACATAAAAAAATAAGAAACTTTTGATGAACATATTTTTTTATTGAACTTTTACTTTTTGAGTAACAGCTACTTGACAATTTTGCTGGGCGAAAAAAAAGTTGGCCATATTATGGTTAGCTATAAAAACTGATTTTAGCCAACATTTTTTACCCACAAAACTATAAAACTTTCGTCTGAAACGTTTTTTTTTTATATATAAAAGGCGGTATTTAGCTGTAACACTTTAATTTGAACACCCGGTATAGGTACTGCTGCTTAACCACTATTTTTTGCACAAACAAAATATGAGAAATGTTTTAAGGGCTTAAATTAATTTAAAAAGTAAAAAAACCCGAAGAAATAACATCTGCCATCTTCAGAATTCAATTTTATACATATTTCTTCCCTTTATATTGTATAACTATGAAAGTATTTGATATCTTTTTATAATACGTCAATGTGTTATTTCTAGACTAACCTTTCCATCACCTTCTTGATGAGGAGCACTATCAGTAACAAAAATTACATATTTTAAAGAATTTCTTCTCCATCCAATTGGACTAAAACACGCCAGAGTTTGCATGAGAGCATCCAGTCCTCCATTTAAAGGACTTAAACTTCCAGATTTTTGAAATCTTCTAACATAATTCTAAAAATAAGTTTTATGAACAAAACACCTTTTCACTAGAAGTCTTTTTTTATTTTTAACCATTTAATTCTAATTATAAACAAAATTTAAACTCACCATAAAAATATGCATGTCATCAGTCATATTTAAGTGATGATGAAACCCATATGGGGCGGAACATTCGTCACATGGGTGAAGAAGTCTGAAAGAAACAAATATCAAAATATTAAACAGCATATCAAGATATCTAACAAAAAGCAATTGATTGAATAATTCATTAAATAGGTTTTAAAATAGAAAATATAAGAAAGGGAACAATTAAATTAGATCTCGCCGGAGAGGCTGGCCGCGAGCTTAGTGTGCATCCACATGCTCGCAACAGTTAAGCAGTGATCTCTCCGGTCACGTCGTGTATCTGTCCCAATACAGTATTAAATACCTTCCTTTCCACCACGATGCTAGGCGCCTCGACGCTGCGACGTACCTAAATCGAAGCCGTCACAACGCTACATGAAATTAGTACATAATCTAATGTCTGTATTTCCAATCAAAAGATTTATATAACTTTCTTTGAGTTACCATTATGAATTTAACCAATAAACCACATGGCCTTCAGGTCATACACCCCGAAAAACAGGATAGACATCTGTTTCGATGGGTGAAATTTTGAGTGTTTCAATAGACATTATAATAATCAATATTAAGATTTTATTTTCTTACTAAGTAATTACAAGTAAAAGTATTCATTGTAGGTGTCCCTCTTGAAAATTAAATTGACGGGTTTTTGTGATTTTTCACATTATTTACAGGAAGGAAGATATTCAGGGTAGGAAGTTTTCGGTGTGTCACCCTGTAGGTACTTGGTGCGTTCACAACCTTAATATCTTCGAGAAAAATCATAGAAAATCAAACGAGTTGTAGATCCAAAGATAATTGCAACAAAATTTTTATTTTTTAAAGAATTTATTGCTAAAACTTTATAGAGACTTACTTTTTAGGACTTGTATCCACAAAAGGAGCAGCAACTTTGTCCACAAAACTGCCAAATCCGATCTTTAAATTTCCAGATATCTTTGGTATGTATTCTGTCAGTTGTTCGCTCAGATAAATAATTTTATTTCTGTTTTCGATACCCATAGATGTAGCATCTATCAGATAATATATATCAACTGGTTGTTTGGGTGTCATTGTCAATTCGTAGGAACTGCCTTAAAAATTAGTTACATTTATAAATAAAATAAATAAATAAATCAATTGGTTATTGTCCAACAGATAATCTTCATTTACAAGACATTATGTGTTGGAATAAATATAGACAGATGGTTAGAATACAATACTGTTTCATGAGACATTTAGTTAGGTTAGATAAATATGAAAATGTTAGTTTTGAAACATCTAACTCTGTAAGAATTTCCAAACAACCCCACACAAACTTTGAGTGTGTACCTGAATGAATCTACTTGATTTTCTTAGTATATGACAATGGTTAATCGATTTAAATGCCTTATTAACTCTTTTGTTTAGTGATATATTGCTGCTATTTCTGCTTGAAATACCTATAAACTCAATGAAATTTTTGCCTTTTCCTTGGTATTATATATAACTACTACTACCTACCCCAATTTCGTATTTTTGAACTATGTATATATTTACCTTGTCTTAGTTTTACTTTGAATCTAGGCGGTATTACATGTGGAGCAGATTTGACGCCAGACTCATTAAAATCTTTTACAATATCTCTACCTTCAAAAACAACCATATTATCAGGATTGAAAATATATTCTTCGGGACATTTAGTGTTGAGGATCGATGAACTATTAAAGCATCTAAAGCCTACAAAATCCTAAAATATAATGAAATACATGAGCAATATTACCTTGATAGTCTGGAAATGTACAGTCATTTTCCATCATTAAGGTATTCTTGCATTATACTCGTTTAAGTTATTATTGTTTAGGTACGTTTTGCTTACAAACTATCTGTTTTAAATATTGTATATAATTAAAAAAAAAAAACTTACTTGTTTGCTACACCATGCACAATTTGGTAATTTTATACATTCATTGCAAGTTTGCCAGTTATTGCACTCAGAAGAGACCGAGTTCAAGAGACCGCAAGCGAGAAACCAAAATATGAAAAATATTGTATTTTTCATTTTCTAGATATATCAAGTAGGGCTAAAAATTATGTTTTTTTAATGAGTAGTGTGAACAAAAATTAGGCATTTACTTTTACTTGAAAATTGGTTACAAATCGTGCTTATTTTCCAATAAATATTTCTTTTAGCTAGAATGGGGGACGAATCATATAAGGTCCAAAAATTTTATTTTTTAAAAAAATAAGTACGAATTGTTTCTCATTTTTAAGTAAAAGCAATTCCTTAATTTTTATTTACACTACTAAATGTGTAAGAACAAATACAAAAAAAAATAATAATTAAAAAATGTCTAATACAAATATTCTTATAGATTATTTTTCTCTTTTTTAGACATTAAATGTTTACCAGCTCAAAATTTGTACTTACCTACAAAATTCCTTTTCGAAATCACTCAAATGAAGAACCAAAATTATTTTTAGTATTGTTTAAATTGTATGGACTATATCAGGTTTTTAACCTCTTTGAACTTATATCTCAAATGTAATATTGTACATGAAGAAAAAGATAAATATGTAAATATATTTTTGTACCAAAATATCCACAATTGTTTTAGAAAGTAATCACATATTTTTTTTATTTCTGTGAATCGTTGGGTTAATTCTTTACAGATTAGATGAAAGGACTGTTATCAACATTTCCAAAGGCTAATATTAGTAATTATAATATTATTATGTTCTTATTCTTTATTTACATAAAGACAATCTATAATAGTCAAATTGTTTTAAAGGTATGAAGTGACGACTAACGTGAACGTGCTTTTCAAAATTGTCACGATAGGTAGCAGCTTGAAACCATCTAGTGAAGAGTATGGCTTACTAAGACGTATCATATCTCTCAGAAAGTATTTTACCTCCATAATACCGTCTATGACTATACTCTTAATACCCGTGATTAGTGCGCGTCACAGGTTGTGGAAGGTCATATCATATCACTGGATGTCAACAGAGGAACCATACTGTCAACTGTCATTAATGTCCATAACAATAACACAGTAAGGTATTTTTCGCGGCATAAACCAACATAAACGTTTATGGTAGATTATGTTATTTAGGCATGATCTTCCGTTTTGGCCGACATCAAGGACCGGAGGGGAGGTTGTAATGACGTCACTGTTTAGCATACTCGAACATGATCTCATCCACAGGCGGTTATGTTAATTCATGTGTTTGACAAATGACTACAGACGGTATACAAAGATAAAAGATGGAAATAAGATTGAAATTGAAGTAGAGGAAAGTGACGAAATTATTCAACAATTAAAATATAGTATAGAGGGTATAAATAGATTAATTAAAATAGCACAAGTAAAATTTGTTGTATTTTTAGACAATGTATTTAGTTAAATTAATATTAATATAAAATAATTAAACTGTTTTTACTCTTAGGAAAAATCGCGTCGTTTACACACACATGAGTAATTGAAATAATAAAAAATTGTTACTTCAGCTCACTGCCCACTTTCAAAATAGCATGGATTTCCCATTTTCGCGCCAACATATACTATATAAGGTATTTTTCGCGACATAAACGGATTATGTTGTTCGATCATGTTCGTCTATCCCCCCACCACATATAGTATATGTTGACGCGAAAATGGAAAATCCATGCTGTTTTGAAAGTGGGCAGTGAGTTGAAGTAACAATTTTTTATTACTTCAATTACTTATGTGTGTGTAAACCACGCGATTTTTCCTAAGAGTTTAATTATTTTATATTAATTATTAATGTACCTATTGTCTAAAAATTACAACAAATTCTACTTTTGCTATTTATATTTACTATCTTTAATTGTTGAATAATTTCGTATCTTTCCTCTACTTCAATTTCAATCTTATTTAATTTAAATTTTAAAATTAAAGCCATCTTTTAGCTTTGTATACCGGTTCTAGTCATTTGTCAAACACATGAATTAACATAACCGCCTGTGGATGAGATCATGTTCGAGTATGCTAAACAGTGACGTCATTACAACCTCCCCTCCGGTCCTTGATGTCGGTCAAAACGGAAGATCATGCCCATGGAGGAAAGATTATTAAGAGTTGCCGTATCTTTATAGAAATTTGGCAACAAGTTTGCTTGCAGCGACCTGTGGAAGCGGGTGGTTCAACTAATCCTACTCTGTCGGTAATATAGTTACCTGCAATATTAGCTGTTCAATCATTACTCTGTTGGTAATGCAGTTGCCCGTAATACCATATTTAATTTGAAAATTGGCGGGCTTATTTTACATCCATTAAGAGGAGCATTTATTTTAACAATTATTATTTTCCATCTAATACCAAATATAGGCATCCAAAATTTCAGTTAATTTTTTTTCATTTTTAGTGAAAGAAAAACATGTAAGTGAAGGTAGACGTTCGTTCCTCTGGAGCCACTTTTTTAAAATTTGATCAATTTTGATGGCAAAAATCGCAAAATTTTGTTTCATAAAGACTTTCTCAATTTTTGAGAAAATAAATCAGATTTCAGAATAGTGGCTTCAGAGAAACAAATATTTCACTTTTACCTGAATGTAGATATTATTCATTCACTAAAAATTAAAAATAATCTAGAAATGTCCATAGCTCTATTTCGTATTGGTTAGAAAAAGATAATTGCTAAAGTAAATTTTTCTCCTCTTAATTATATTTAAAATTTTGCTTTTTTATTAGCTGTTTGTTACAATTATGAAATGCCAATAAAAATGTAAAATTCTATGACAAATAACTATGAGGGGTAAAATAAATACCATACAAAGTTTTATATAATTATATTTACTAAAAATTCCCAAGAAAAATAAATTAAATTAATGGTAATACAACAATAATAATAGATTTTCCTACACTTCAACCTACATGAGTTAAACCCCAAGAAGAGCTTGTGAGTGGCAAGAATAGTTATTATTATTTGCTATGGGACTCTGGGCTGACTTAAAGATAACCGATAGTGCCATATTATTTGCAGGTAAGTAAAACCCGGATAACCCGGCCTACCATCATTATTTGTATATATTAGTTTATTTCGATACAAAGTACAATCTATTTTTACAAATGTTTACTAGTTTCTATAAAAAATACTCCTAATTTCACGAAAATGTTATTCTCTAAAGATTATCTAATGAGTTTGACTTAAAAACATTCTAGTATTATAAATTATCTCCAAATATTTATTATCTTTAAGAAAGTTACTCTAATATCAGAAATATCACATTATTATTTAGGTGTACGTTAACTATCTTCGGTTAAAATAATGAATATCAGAAATTGCAAATAATTCATGTACTTGATTTGAAAAAACTAATTTTCAAAATAACAAAAATATTCTTGTTGAATCTTGGGAAATAAGATAAAAGGCAACCATCCATATAAACTGAAACAGAAAAAAAATTAAATGCAGTAACTTCAATCATTTTGTTTATCTTTTTGGTCTTAAAATATTGCCACAGCTCTCATACTAGGTCTGTCCGGGTTCTTCAAAAATACATTGAGAACTATCAGAAGACTAGTTGACCAGTGGACAGTTTAATAGTTGTATCCGACAAATAATTTGGAATTAAACTGTTTCACTGGTTCTCGGACAGTTTGCATCCAGTTTTAAAGAAACCTGAACAAACCTACATTATAATAGTTTTGAATTAAATTGTTGAAATATCTTTGATTCTGAAATTTTGACTGCAGTTTAAACGTCACATTAGGAATTATAGGGCATTTTTTAATTTGCAAATTTTACTTTTCTGTTTTCTATAAAATTTATTTAAAAATCCATTATCGAAACGTTGTTCCTTATGTAAGATTCAAATTCAATTGATGACTGACCGTTTTTGAAATTTTGATCTTCTATATTATTGGAATGTAACACAGGTAATCTGGAGGTGTGATAACAACATTACTAAGTATTATTATCTTTGGTGTATCTGGTTTTGAGGGTGCTAAGCAAGCAAATCTTAGCAGTCTTAGTCTTGAACAATTTGTGTTTGTAATCGATTTCGTACCAAAATTATCTCATAATTAATGATTGGTTTCACATGAAATGTTTAAAATGTGGCACCATTCTTTCTTTGATTTGGAAATTATGTATTTTCTCTAGTTAAAGCATCAAAATACCTTTACTTAATTTTAAATAATCCTAAATAACTTATATCTAAAACTAAAATTAATAAAAAATACTCTCACTCACATGTTTTCGTCGGCGGCAACCATAACCATATTGTTTTTTTGTTTACTTTTTTTTTTGTTGATAGCGCGCGCGTCACCGTGGCAGCGGTCACACGGGGGGGAGCCAGCAGGCATGTAGCGGACATAAAGACAGGTTAACATTGTACAAATAACTAAGTGAAGGCATGATTTTTTAATTTGGTTTAATATATAAATTAAAATTGTTGAAATAATACTTTTTTGTGTTACTGAGCGAGATGTTATTAAATTATTCAGTGTGCTTTACATTTTAATACAATTTGGTTATTGTAAAACGGACTTCAGAGCACCCAAGCGCCGGGTGGTCTGCGCAGTAAACAGGTTGGCATATTTTGCATATGATTTAAACCCCCGTGATCATGCCTAAATAACATAATCTACCATAAACGTTGTATGTTGGTTTATGCCGCGAAAAATACCTTTATGTGGTGGGGGGATAGACGAACATGATCGAACAACATAATCTGTTTATGTCGCGAAAAATACCTTAGTGGTTATTGGAATTATTAAAGCATAATTTTGAAAATGAAAGCAATTTAATTTAACATATTAGGGCATATGGATGGTAAGGTAATAACGATTATATGTTTCTCTATCGATTTCATAATTTACTTTTTTCATATTCATTTGTCTTCGATTTGAAGAATTTTAACCCAGCTTTCTCAAACCCTGGTTTTTGAAGTAGATAAAATTTAATTAATTGACACATTCAAAACATATAAACGGTAAGTTGATAACCTTCACATGTAATTTTACCAATTTCATAATATTTTTTTCAGGAAAAGAATTATTTTTCCATAATTTGATAAATCTAAACTCAACTTATTTAAGGGGTAACTTTTGAAATTGATTTTAAAACAGTAGCACATGTCCTAGAGACCAAGTGATTTGCCACAACATGGCTACCTTATTGTATTATGCCCATTACAATATTTGTCCTGAAGAAGCTAAAACTACTTTTGATCCAAGACTGACTATATATCATGGGTTACAATTTATACTGTGTTTTGTTTGGCCACAATCGGTAGAGGCTAAATGGGATCCTAATTTAAATATTTTACATACATTTTATACTGACACATATCGGTTGTTTTCAATATTTTTTTTGTACTACTGAAAAGTAGATACTAAATTATGATTTATTACTACACAAATATTTGATAATTTATATTATTATATATTAAAACTACTTTATTTTTTTTATTTATTTATCTTGCAGAACAGACTAAAATTTCGAATATTTATTATATTATTTTCACATATATATGTGTATAACAAAAATGCACAGACATAGTTCTTATCATTTCTTCTGACCTCTCCACTTTTAGTTTTAATAGACAGTTTTCAGTTTTAATCATAACAGCATCTAAAAAAAAATATTTTTCTTTAAGTGGATCAAAATATGTTATTGATTCTACACAACAATAAAGTTAACACTCTACTTCCTAGTAACATATAATAACTCCGAGAACCTATATCGAGGGTTACAATGCAGGACCTCTTAACTACAATTTCCACTGAAAATTGTGCTACATCTACTGTATATGAGAAGTATTACAGTTTTTGAACAAGACATGGGTAAATATTAGTCCTATTATAGAGTAAAATGGATTGTTCTATACGTAAAACATTTTTTTTTCATCTGATTTGGTTTCTTAGAAGGTCCTGCCTTGTGGCCCTCGATATATGTCTCACCTGCTTCTTTTCTGGACGGACCCAGGCATTGACTCATCTTGTAAATATTAAATTATTTTCACTCTCAAAATCAGGATTAAGCTTAAGTTTCTCAAATCGCTGAAATAGAATTTTGCCAGTAAAAAAGAATATGAAATTGATAGAATTACACGTACAGTTCATCAAATTTCTAGAGGCTTTCGACGGCTAGACAAAGAAAGCACTACTGACAGGCATCCCGACGGATTTACGCAATGAAAGTACACTCTGCGCATCAAGTATTTCACTATTTCATTCACACGTAAATGTCAGATGTAAATTTCGCTAAAACATTTCTTTTATTTTCGTTTGTGTTTTTTGCTCATTACAGTTTAATAGAACCTAAGTATGGAGTTTAATAGCAAATTAAGAGGCCGCGTGATTAACAGTCAATCTCGCGAAATAATAGCCAATGTTATAGAGTTTATGAGAAGAGAAGGAAACTTTAATTCACCTTCAATACCATTTAAAAATGTAAATGATCGTGTTGCTGCAGCCACAGGAGTATCTAAAAACACTGTCGTCCGCATTTCTGGAGAGAAAAAAGAATCGATAACCGTGAGATATCGGAATTTTCATCACCAAGAAAAACCATTAAAAAACCAAAAACAGTTAATGATATAGACGAAGCTGCACAAGAATCAAATTTTATTTTTTTATTATTAGATAGCTATTTTTGTTTCTGAGTTGTGTTCATTTACAGGCTCAATTTTTTTCCGTTTCTCCTTTTTGATTTTATATGGGGTTTCAAGTTGTTTTTGACTTATTTCGACGTAAATCACAACAACACACTTTTTTAATAAAGCAAACAAGTGTTAAGAGGTATATGTACGTGTAAACTACAATTACAAAAAATTGATATGAAACCCATGAAACCACCAACAAAAATGTAAAGCTAGCTTCCGTACTAGAACATGGTGTCATTCGTCGAGATAATTTATCGTTTTGTTTAATAGATCAAGAAATGTAAATATTCCCCTGTTATTTTTTATAAAATTATAAGAGAAATAAATTTTTTTCTAAATAGTATAGTTTATTATTTTGTAGAAAAACAAAATTTCGAAAATTTTAGTAATGTTTCAGAAACAACCGTTATTAATAATAGGTACCATTTTCCTTAATAAGGTAGAAATAAAATATAAACTATTTCCACGATTTACAAAGGCCTACAAAAAAATTATAGGTATTTTCCGCTATCCTATAAAATTTATATTTTCTGACTCAATTTCAAAAGGTTGAAGGAATTCCAAAACACCTTTTATGGCATAATAATTATTTTCAATTCTACATACTATCTTTAGCTGCTTTTAAAAACGTTCTAAGAAAGTCCAATCAGACCAATTTAATCCCTAAACTATTCCACACTTTTAAAATTTAATTACCTAAAAATATTAAAACCTATTTAAAATAACTTGTTTAGCAGACTGTACAATAGCTATCTTAGTCACACGTAGCGCGTTCTCTGTCTGGGCGTCGAACACCTCTAGAAATTTGATGAACTGTAAAGATCATTTATACCGTTTATATGCTTTGAATGAATCAAATAATTAAATTATATCCACTTCAAAAACGAGGGTTTGGGTAGGCTGGTTTAAAATTCATCAAATCGAAGACAAATGAATATTTTCCTGAAAAAAAAATTAATTATAAAATCGATAGAGAAACATATAAACCATAAACGTTATTACCTTACCTTCCATATGCTCTAATATGTTAAATAATTAAATTAATTTCATTTTCAAAATTATGCTTTAATAATTTCAATGACCCCTGTGTTATTCTTATGGAAATTAATGACAGTTGACAGTCTGGTTCTTCTGTTGGCATCCAGTGCTATGACCGTTCTCAACCTGTGACGTTTTTACTAAACACGCGTATTGCTAACAGCAGTTATATTTCTTTTTGAAATCCCGTCCCACAATATATAAACACACTGTGTAACAAACTAGGTTATCATCCTAAAATAATAAGGTCATCTTTTCTTCGACTCAGCATTATTCCAGAAAACCATGACATCCACTTGTGATTTTTACGGTCAGCGGCGTACATAGCCGTTCACATTAGTAATATGGAATTAGTAAAATCATATATCATTAAGTAATTATGTGAAAAAAGGTATCACATTTCTTACTTCAAAAGAAATTTTTTAACGTCCGGATTTTTTTTATAAACTTATCCTGGTAAGATTTCATCTGGTAACTCTAAGACCAGTGCAGGGCAGATGAGAGGGGGGCTGATAGGACAAATTCCCGGGGACCGGGCCCAAGTGGGGGCCCGCCAGCGGCACAAAAGGGGCCCGACAGCTTTAGGTGAGGACATTATATTTTTTTAGGAAGGGAGGACACAAGATTGAAACCTTTTTTTTTAGAAATGTGATATCAAAAGGGCTTAATAATTTTTTATAAAATTGTCGCGGGGCCCCTCCTGGAAAATTGTTCCGGGGCTCCACCTGGACCACTGTTTATATTTTACCCTAAAAGACACATACGTTTACTTATAAAAGAATGCATGTATATCAATATAACTATTTAAAAACAGAAATTTGGTTTTACAAAATGGATTAAAAATGACGTGTTTGTAGAATAAACATTTTCCTAGCATTTATTTAGTCTGAATTTAAGTAAAAAGTAGATGGAGACCAGAATTATAAATCAAAATCGATATGTACACCAAAAGTCGCTTACGTTGAGTTTTTTAAACACAAACAAATAATGATTTTAGAAAAAAATGTGGGCTATGTTTATTTATGTTTATTTTAAAACAACTTTAGTCAATTAGTCGAGTAAAAATGTTTGCTTTTAAGTCACGTACTTGAAGTATCAGTAACAAATAATGGCCGACAAAAATTCAACTAATAACAATAATTTTAATGAAACCAAATGCGTCATAATATTTATCTTGTGTATGTAATTTGATTCTGATCCTATTTACCAGACAAAACAAAATAGAAAACTGACTAATATAAATAATTAAAAATTTGGTTCGCTTTGCAATATATTTTTTATATTTGGAAAAGAAAATAAAAATCTTAATTATTAAACAATTGCGCAACCTTATAAAGATCTAACTTATTTGATTAAGGATAAGTACTATTCATTTTTAATCAGCACGATTTAAATCAACGCTCTGTTGAATTTTAATGTGATAGTGACTAATCGAAACAAAACAATTAGAATTGAAATGGCAGATATGGAAGAATATCATAATATAATAAATTTTGGTGCTGGGCCAGCTAAAATTCCCAGAGAGGTTAGTAAAGAGTAAGACATTTCATATACTTTTGTATTTATAAAAAATTTGTTTTATTATGAATTGCAATCGAGGATGAAAGGTCGTCTGTAAAAAAACTATAGTAATAATGCAGCGTTGCCAACCTATAAATCATTAATTCGGTAGAAAAAATCGTGGAAAATCGGTAGATGTGCTGAGAACTGAGAATCGGTGGATTTAAATAATAATGTAGGAATATGATGAAGTGTTATAATACTTTTGAGCATTGGGTAATATTACATGGAATCTTTAACAAAGGGACCACTATATTTCTGCACACGTGCAGTTTTGTTTATATTAACGCTAATGATTGTTGAGTGTTCCTTTTTTAAGATGCTTTTGTTTTTTAGTCAGTCAAGACATATTCGTTGTATCGATTGGAATAAATTCAGTTTGCTACGTTATTATCGTGTTTCATTATAATTTTATATTATTTCTTACAGAAATATTGTCTAATTTAAAATATTTGTTAGAAAAAATTATTTACAAACAAGATTTAATCAAAAAAAAAAAAAAAAACAGGTAGCAAAATTTTAAATAAGTTAAATAACTAACTAGAGTGGCTATTAGAGGTAGGTGTATGTAAGAAATAGCCAGTCTCTAATTGTTTCAAAAGTCCTTTGCCAATACTTCTTTTCTAGTAGGTGGGAACTTTGTGTTGCTATTAAAGCTGTCGAGACATTCATCTACCTACTTAATGAAAAAAAGTAGCTGTAACAATGGATCTCTGTTCCAATTCACCTAAAATAATTATAGCCATTTTGTAATATATTATTAAACACACACATTATACATTGGTTTTCTTAATAAATGGAAATTACTTACCGCTAGAAAGAAACGCGTAGAAAAACGCAAGTTTGGTTTCAGAAATTGCTTCATGCAAAAAATATGCGAAAATAAACATTTCCCCCCCCCCCCAAAGAAAATTAATGAAACAACAAAATCAGACTTAGAGAAACAAACGGAGTCCAAATTAAATTAATTTTAATACAACGCACACGTTCATAACAACATTCATATCTTTGTCAGTTCTAATCTATACGTCGACGTCAAAAAACCAGCAACATCAGCGACCTCTAAGATTAGTGTTAGTTTTAGAGGTATGTAATATGTAATATGTAATATGTAAAGATTAATATAAAAGAGAAAGAAAGTCATATATATGTAATTTAAATGGACCACCGAAAAAATGTTCCTATATATTAAGTGACACGTCTCTAGGTGAGTTCGGTCTAAGCACTCTTTTCACTATATTCACTCCTAAAGTACATAAGGCGTTCGGGTACGGAAGGAGTTAAAGTAAAAGTTCCTCTTTGACCGTTCGGATATCGTGGAGTGGAATGTGGATCAGGCATGCGCATAAGGTGATTTAAATCGATAATAAAATAATTGTGACTAATTCTTAGGTAAAAATGCTTTTTATTTGATTCTCGTGCATCCTATTAATATGGAAGAAACTTATACGGTTTTTACTGATAAGTATACGATTAGATTTTAAGTATTATTATCTCACATTGACAACCGACATTGAACTCTGAGAGTAAGAGGAGTAAAACCATATTCGCACTTCGTTTACGCCATATTTACGCCTACTTACTCCACTCCACTCTGGAGTGCGTAGCCCGAACTTACCTTCTGTTGTCTCTGATTCGATAGAATACTTTCTAAATCGGTAGATATACCGAAAAATCGGTAGGGTTGGCAACGCTGTAACTACGTAGACGAATCGCGAGTATTTTGCGCACGCGCCTGCGGTTAATTCGTAGTATTTCAGATAATCGAGTAGTGAATAATCGTTTGTAAAAATCGAAGGTGCATATAGTAACTGCATTGTATACTATTTTCCAGTAAGGTAACTTTTTCTCGAAAATAGCTTTAAAATGATAAACGTTTTATTTTATGACTGGTTTTTATTTTAAGAAGAAAAACAACTGCTATCTACGTTTTTTTTTGAGTTTTAAAACATTATTTTTACTAAAATTACTTGATTACTTCACTCGTCTGCATATTAGTGTGAAGCATGAATAATTTACGCTGCTTCAGCTGCTTTATTTATATCAAATGCTAAACTTTTTAGTATTACTTGTTAAAAATAAGCAAAATTCACCTTACCTAAAAACTATTAACAAAAACTACATGAACTTAATCTTCTCATTCAACAGTCCAATATACTACTAATTACTAAACCATGGCTGCTTCAACGAAGTTGTTAAATATACAGAGTCTTCCACAATATCCATATTACACGTGCACAAATTCAGTAGTAACCCTTAAACAATTTTACTGGCTTATTTGATAGAAATGACACTTAAGTTGTCATAATCCGCTTTTAAACAAATTAATCCGAAAATGATGACAGGACTTATAAGTCTCTAGTCGAGAGAAATGTTTTTAAAAAGCATTTTTATTACTTTTTCTTAAATAAAAACCAAAAATAAATTATATTTAGTATTTAATATTAATGTTATCGTTACAAGTTATATTTATTTTATTAAAATGTTGCTAGGGAAGAAAATAGAGTCAGCAATTCACATACAGTTCATAGAGGTTCATTTACACTGTCGGCAACCAGATACCGTTTTCCTGTAAAAAGGATATGGGGTCATCGATCATTACTCAGGTCCTGATGAAATTCCAGCACTTGTTAAAGAGTTTGTTCACTATCCTTTAAATCTAACATATTTCTTGGAGCATAGAACCATTCCAGGGTCTATCCAGTTTATAAAAAAAGAGAATCATCGAAACCTTTCGGCCAATATCAATTATATCTAATTTTAGCAAGTGGGAAAGGTTTACAACCATGTGAGTTAGCAAAAATCTCTTCAAACACGGCTTTATGAATGGTTATTTCACTGTTACGAACCTAATTAATGTTACACAATTCATAGACAGACAAATTCAGACTTTTCAAAGACCTTTGATTGGCTTTATCACTATGTTCTGATCAATAAACTTCTTTAGTTTTATTATTCTAGTATTACTTAATCAATATGTTGCGTTTTCGGGGTTTAATCTGCAGCTTCCTCCGGGATACGAGCAACTTAGGTCCTTTTTTATTTAATATATTTATCAACGTCATTGTTATTAATATATATATATATATATATATATATATATATATATATATATATATATATATATATATATATATATATATATATATATATATATATATATATATATATATATATATACATATTTTTGGATCAAGGTGAGATCCGTATATATTATAGATGACCTGAGATCCATCCCAAATGAAATAAATCTCAAAAAAAGATTATACGTAAATATAATAAAAATGTATTTTAAATCAAGGCACCAACAGAGGGGTAAGGTAAAAGTGGTTTTTTTTATACATGAAATATGTGTTGCAAATAGAGATCCTTTATAAACAGACGTTAGTTGAGATCCGAGGCTGTATATAGATAAATATATTAGACAAAATGAGATCCAGCTATGTTGCCAGATTTTTGCATACATTTGCATTCATTAATTTCACGTGTTTATTTAGCTATTTCCAAATGTGATGTATTGACATTTTTAAAGTGTATATGGCTGATAGAGATAAAGATGCCCAAATATAAACAATTTAATTTTGTAACAAAATAATTAGTCATCGTTTTCGAAAACGAAACGGTTCCAGTTTAGGGTTCCTAATGTCATTAAAAAAAAAATCGCTTGAAAACGTTAATGTATTTCTCAAGGGTGAAACCCTTTAGACGTATTTCCAAATCCCTATCTTTTAACCCCTTGAACAGTGTGCTGTACACCCCTCAACTCTTAAATGGTAAGTTTGGGTCGAGTGACACATCATTTAAAAGGTAATTTTATGAGGGAAAAAAGTGTTATGTAATCCAAAGTGTGACACTTCACTGAGACCTAATTTTATTAGTAATTTAATGGATCATATAACATTATCCCAAATAAATCAAAAATGAACCTAAATAAAAATTAAATATTGCAGGGTGCTAACATTACACAAAATTAATTTTGTTACAAGTGCAATATGGAGATATTTAGGTTAATGTTATATGGTTCATTAAATTACCAATAAAATTAGCCCTCGTATGAGGTATAACACTTTAGATTACAAAACGCTTTCTTTCCCCTCAAGTGGGGGCAAAATGAAGATTTTGGGGTATACAAACCAATACTGCTGCATTCCTCATAAAATTACTTTCAAATGATGTATCACTCGACCCAACTTTCCACTTAAGATTTAGGGGTGTACAGCACCTTGAAGTTTAAAGGGATTTCCCCTCTATAAATAATAAATCAAAATTTTGGAGGAAGTACAGAAATTTATAATATAAGTTACTTGAAAGTATTTGAAAACAACAAATCACAAAATAAAATTTCTTCCCCGAGAAAGGATAAAAAAATAAAGTGTTTTTTAAAGATTATTTAAAATAGGTAGGAGCTTAAAAAAAGTTCCTAATGAAAGTTGTAGAACATGACTTTTACATAAAAATTGTATTTTAATTTTTTTTGCTATTACTAAAATTAACAGAGTTAGGGTGATCAGAAGAAGGGAAGGTATGCACAACTTAAAAAATCATAGCAAGCTGAAAAATGAATGAATTTTAATTTTTTTAATATTTACTCACAAAAATATAAACTTTCTTTTCAGAGAATTTTTTTATACTTTTAATAAAAAAGTTATAAAAATTTTAATTTAGTAATTTTCAACTTAAACGACTTTATGAGGTGAAATCAATTTTGTGAGTAAATAATAATAATAATAATAATAAAAAAAAAAATATTCGTTTTTCAGATTGCTATGATTTTTTAAAGTTGCACATACCTTTCCTTAACTTCTAACCACCCTAACTCTGTTAATTTTATTAATGGCGAAAAAATAAAATACAATTTTTATGTAAAATTTCACCTTCTACAACTTTTATCCGGAACTTTTTTTTAGCTCCTACCTATTTTGAATAATCTTTAAAAAACACTTTATTTTATATCTTTTCGCCCTTTTTCGGGGGTAGAATTTTTTTTGTCATATTTGTTTTCAAATACTTTCAAGTAACTTATATCAAAAATTCCTGTACTTGCTCCAAAATTTTGATTTAAAGGTCTATTTGATTGGACATAATGCGTACCTGAATAATTTATTTCCAGTGTAAAAAAGTACTTACTTATCTTTAAGCTGCTAATAACCATTCTCTTATATAGTAGGAAAATAGTACCTAGTTCCAAAAGATAAATATAATATACTGTAACACATTTTTTTTATATTGTTTCTTTGTTTATTTTTGATATCAAATTTTAAAGTATTTCATCAAATATTTGTGTTTTTGATCAATATTCATCTATTTTTTGAAATTCTTATTACAAAAACATGAAGAAACAAATAAAATGGGAAAAATGGATCTTGTGTATTTATTTCTCGTCTTTGATCTAAATATTAAATATTACAATGTTTTAATTATAGTCTAGTTCACAAGTTCTAAAACGTGTTGATAAAGCTCAAAAACATAATATGAATGAGTGCTTATTGGATTCGGAATGACGCCTAGAAAAATTTGCAAAAGTTTCAAACACGCATACAAACAATTATTGCAAAAATTATAAACAGATTAAGATTGAAAAAATTACGAATTTTGTTTTGCAAATAATAAAATATTGATGGTATTTATGATATTTTAAAACTCCTGGAACACTATCTAAACTTTTGAACATTTTTTTTTTTGTCCTCCGAATTCATTGACCCCAACATATATTTTTACGTCTGCTTTAATATGAATTCTGTAAATAATATTTCAACAAATATAAAACACCCGACGTTTATACGAAAGTAAAATGAAATTAATATAAATATAACTTTATAAATTTTTTTAAAAATTAAAAAATCATTTTGTTAATTTTTAATACAATTTTTTAAATATACCGTTAGCCAACGGTTCAAGAAAAAATACAAACTATTTTTGTATTTATTAAAAATATGAAATATTTTTTAAAGATATAATAATAAAATTATAATATTTTTCATATAAATATGCCCTTTTTATAATATAATCTAATATAAGAAAACATAGTATACACATAATATGCTGTTTTAACTAAAAGAGCAGGGCATAGTGTCGCATTCGAGCGAAAATTAGCTCAATTTTTTTGATCATGTCAGGGAAGTTCTCCTGATTATAAAAGGGTAACATGATATTTGTTGATGTTATTGTTTAAGCAAGTGAAAACTAAACAAATTGCAAAAAACTGTTTTTAAACTAAATTAATTTTTATTAAAATCTTTAAGATATTTTGATTATTATAACTAAACGTCTTTAATTATTGTTATAAATTTTTTAAGTTTAAAATTGCTGAAAATCAAGACTTTAGAAATAGTTATATTATAATTTTTAATTTTTTATCAAATTTTTAAACAATTATTAACGTTACAGTTCTCTCAAATTCTGAATTACTTTTTTACTCTATATTTTATGCTTTGTAACAATATTCTCTTTACGCGCATACGCTTTCAAGAGAGAAGTATAATATGAAACAACTGAACGACGAAGTGAAGAGTTACAGAAATAACACCAGCACACAAAAAAAAAAGTTGTTTGTACATCAGACACGACCTACCTACCTACCGGCATGTATTTTGGCCCGCTGAATCCGAATTTCAAGTCAGTTTGGGCCGTCCACCCTTCAAAATCCACCGTTGCAATATATCTAAAAACTGATGTATGAACTGAATGAGGCGAAAGATTTTCTCAGATTTTGAACTGTTTTTTGTTGGTATCAAACTTTTTTGTTCTCAAATGACCTCCGTAGTATTCAGCGGATCGAAATACATAAGAATTATGCTTGGTTTCGATTCATAATTTTTTTTATTACTAATTATCTTATTTTTACTATTTTTACAATTTTCTCGATATTGAAGGGTGGACGGCCCAAACTGACTTGAAATTCGGATTCAGCGGGTCAAAATACATGCCGGTAGGTAGGTCGTGTCTGATGTACAAACAACTTTTTTTTTGTGTGCCGGTGAATTATTAAAGGAAAAGTTTTTATATCATTTTATTATTGTAAAACTGCAAAAAACTTTTAAAGCGCCACATCTGCCTCTCTTACCTGTATCATACACTAAGAAACGAGTGAGAAGGTTATAATTTTCTCTTAAAAGCATATGCGCGTAGAGAGCATATTGTTATAAAGCATAATATAAAGAATAAAAAAATATTCAAAATTTGAATAGAATCTCATTTTTTCTAAAAGTGCCCATCCACCTGTGAGGATTCCTTCCAGTCGTTAGGCGAGGAGATATCTCCTCGAAAGTGTAACCTGGTGTAGTCGCACCTCTTAAAATATACACCCCACAAAAATTATCGCATCACTAAAATGTGTGCAATGGTTTATAAAAACAGGCAGTGCTAAAAAACTGTATTTCTCCTCTAATAAAAGAGAGAATAAAACAATCAAAAAAATAAAATTTTGCGAAAAATGAGACTAAAGTAGGCTATTAATTATAACATGCTATTATTGCTGGTACACTCCACAGGGTGTTACGAGTTTTCCAACCAAAAACCTATATTATTGTAACATCCGGTATACACTCTAAAATTAAATTTTATTTAAAGAATCAAAGAGATTACTATTCCTGAAGAATCAATTTATCTTCCAAAAAAATAATATCCAAATCAATCAAACGGTTCAAAAAAACTCCAAATTTTTGAAAACTATTAGTGATGCGATAATTTTTGTGGGGTCCATAATTTTTTTCTGTAAAAAATTAAACTTTTGGTATTTCATTTAAATTAAACAAAAAAATAATTAATAGTTACTAACATTTATTTTATAAAGATTTTTGCGAAAGTAAAAAATGTAACTAAAATATAAATTAAAACTAATAAATAAAGTACTTTTAAAGAAAAGAAAGAAAGTATATAATGAATTTATTTAAAAAATGCATCTTTTTAAATATAATTTCCATTAAAAAATGTGCCATGAAAATGAATTTTCTCATATTTAAGATAATAGATCACTTTTTACGCCTATAATTTTTTCTAATATTACCAATTTTTAAAAAATATTTTTAGCATACATATTTTTTAAATTATTTACTGAAAAAAAAATGACTTCAAAGTATTATCTATATAAAAAATACCGCTTAAACAAAAGCACATAAATTATAAAAACAAACACGATCCAAAGTAAAATGATACCATAATATGCCGTTTGCATCAGAACAGTCATTAACACATACTTAAAGTTATTAATGAGATCACCCAACGTTGCCGCAGTTATCGGATCTCATCATATTGATAATATACCAATATTCTAGAATCTGCCGACGCGCCACCTAGAACGATAAGGCTGAACCCAAAGTGAATAAAATCGTGGAGAATAGGCAAAGATGAGTTCCGACAAAAAAAATTTAAGCCGACAGATTATGGTTAGTTATAAATATTGGGGACGTTTAACCACTCAAAACAAGATGAGATCCAAAATCGGAGCTCGCCTTTCAAAACGGATCTCGAAGTGTACATGATTTATAAAAAAATGATCTCGGCTTTACCCAAAACATATGTATATATATATATATATATATATATACACTTTTAGGTTCTTGAAGAAATTAAAGGTGAACTGTTGTCCTTCAATAATACTGGAATGAGCATTACTGAATTAAGTCACAGAAGCAAAGAGTATATGGAGATAAATCAGCAAACCCAAGAATTATTGAGGCAACTTCTGTAAGTACGAATATGTTTATATTAATAATAAAATGTATTTTGCAACATTACTTTTTATACACATGTTAAAAACCACATACTTTGATTTTCTTTTACTATACGGAGAATAATCGCACTGCGCAGCTTTCTGAGTGCCTTTTAAAAGGAGAAAACTCCGCCATTTTGATCCCTTATTACGTGTTGCCTACATCTTGGCGCAATATTTTTAATAGGTGCGTTTTAATCATCCGCTTCTGCTTCGGAATTGTCGGTTTTCTTGTTTTAATCTGACAGGTTAAAACGACTAAACCGACAATTCCAGAAGCAGAAGCGGATGAATAAAACGCACCTGATATTTTGCTTGCTGCTGTCAGTGCCAGTGAATATTATTTTTGGAGTCACAGTTTATTGCTAAAGAATCAGTTAGCTCACTCGGACCAGTTGAAAGTTCCAAAATAACATCCACTCCAGGGATACAAATTCAGGATACACAGAAGACTGCTGTTTTATTATAGGCGGTTGTCATATATTGTATTATCCGAGTTGCGCAGTGTATAAACTGGAACATTTAGATCAAAAGTGCCGACGCAGAGTGAGCGATCTGATTCTTTAGCATAGGAATCAAAATGGCCGCGCCCTATGTTGGGCGTGTCGGACCTCTCTCTTGCACCATATAGTAATCAAAGTATGTGGTCAATGAACTGGAGTGGGGTAGAAAGCCAATGTGCATATTGTATCAATAGAACAAGATGCGACTCTACGGGCGCAGCCATTTTTATTTCTCATCTCACTCGGGAGTATTTATAATAACCATTTTCTGTTTCACATTGTTATTGTTCAATCCACACGCTGGTGGATCAGACAATAACAAAGTGAAATAGAAAATGGTTATTATAAATACTCCCGAGTGAGATGAAAAATAACCTGTCTTTGCCCATAGAGTCGCATCTCAAGTCTATTGACAAGTATTCTACCCCACTCCAGTTCATTGTATGTGGTTAAAAACAGAGTATAGACAGAATGACATTGACAAGAATTCTTACTGACAGTTCACTTACTTAGTAAGTTGTGCAGCAATATATTTAACACACATACTTTGATTACTATACGAGGCAAGAGAGAGGTCCGACACGCCCAACTTAGGGCGCGGCCATTTTGAACCCTGTAACACAGTTTACAGCTAAAAAATCAGATCGCTCACTCTGCGTCGGCACTTTTGATCTCAATGTTTCAGTTTATACACTGTGCAACTCGGATAATACAATATATGACAACCGCCTATAATAAAACAGCAGTCTTCTGCGTATCCTGAATTTGTATCCCTGGAGTGTATGTTATTTTGGAACTTTCAACTGGTCCGAGTGAGCTAACTGATTCTTTAGCAATAAACTGTGACTTCAAAAATAATATTCACTGACACTGACAGCAGCAAGCAAAATATCAGGTGCGTTAATTTTAACCATCCGCTTCTGCTTCCGGAATTGTCGGTTTAGTCGTTTTAACCTGTCAGATTAAAACAAGAAAACCGACAATTCCGAAGCAGAAGCGGATGATTAAAACGCACCTATTAAAAATATTGCGCCAAGATGTAGGCAACACGTAATAAGGGTTCAAAATGGCGGAGTTTTCTATCTCCTTTTAAAAGGCACTCAGAAAGCTGCGCAATGCGACCATTCTCCGTATAGTAAAAGAAAGTCAAAGTATGTGATTTAACACAATATAGGTCCTTTCGTTCGTTGTTGGTGCAGTTTCCACCAGTGTAAATTACACCAGTTATACCACCTAATTTGCCCTAGTTTACTTCCTCCTTATTCCTTATACACATGTCGAGTGTATTTCACTCCTGCTAAATAGCTGGTGAAGAAAATATCCACCAGCAGATACCACATCACCGACAGAAAGGTATAGTGGATTTTACACCGGGCCAAACGAAAGATGTGATATAGTTCATTCCTACACCAGTGGGACGAACGAAAGAACCTTATAATTCTAGTACCAGGATCAACTGATCAAAATTTTTTATATTTTAGAAACATTCCTGCTAACTACTCAGTACTATTTGTAGCAGGAGGAGGCCAAGGACAATTTGCTGCGATTCCGTTGAACCTAATTGGTCGTACGGGTACAGCGGATTATTTGGTTACTGGAATTTGGTCGAGAATAGCAGCTGAAGAAGCCAAAAATCACGGAAATATAAACATTGCTGTAGATTCTCAAGACGAACATAGTATTCCGGATCCAAAAACGTGGAAACTGAATTCCAACGCGTCTTATGTATACTATTGTGACAATGATACCATTCAAGGTAATTTTTAAACAACATATTATTTGTTGTAAACTCTGAATCTTTCAAAAAATTTATTTGTTTGACGTGAATAATCGCTGAGGTACAAAGTTTCAAGTTTTGCTTCACCGGTCAGCCACGCACGACGGAAAATATCAATTTTTATTTTGTCTTGATTAGTCACGTTCACCTTTAATGTTATTACTACTATGAGTCTTTTTTTACAAAAATTGGAACTCTCGTGTTGTTACGGAGTCCAAACTCGTGATCGTTGACTCTTCTACTACTAGGGAACAAGTCTGTGGCACTGTGATTCAATATGGATAAACAATTTTCCAAAAATTATATTACAAAGAAACATCAATTATCTAAATGAACAATACTATTATAAAGATTTATCTAATTTAAAGAAATGTCCATTTAATGTTAAATTATTAATGTTCTTGCAGGGGTTGAATTTCCATTTACACCAGAAACCAACGGTGTACCATTAGTTGCAGATATGAGTTCTAATTTCTTGACGAAACGTATCGACGTCTCAAAGGTAAACATCTACAAAATAATCTTGTTGGAATTTGTAACCCCAAATAGTTTGGTGTTATTTTTGCAGCGTCTCAGAAAAATTTAGGAACAGCAGGGATTGCTGTCGTAATAATACGGAATGATCTTTTGGGCGAAGCACAAAAACATTGTCCAAATGTGCTCAATTATACTCTTTTGAGTAAATATACTTCGATTTACAATACACCACCTATATTTTCGTAAGTATTAGGTAGAGTATATAACTGTTCCAGTAATGGACACTCAAGACAAAGGTTTTACTAAAAATTATTATTTTTTACATTTTTTATCTAAAAAATTACTATGGGCAAAATAATTTATTACAAATTATGAAAATATTGTTTTTATATATTTAATTATTTAAAAAAGTCCAAAACTCGAGTAAGGGACACATCAACAGTGATTGCAGACCGAAGTTTTGGGTTGAGGGGGACATTCTAATATTAATTTTGACCTATGTTGGATGCATCTCAGCACCTTTTTTAGCTCCTCAACTCAAAAGAGAAACATTAAATTGTAGAAACTACTACAAAACTACTACAAGACTATTTGCTACGTTTAAATGCTTGACCTTTTATCCAGACTCTGAAAATGCTGTATGTAACCTCTCGGGGAAGGGGGGAGCATAAATATATCATGGCCTAGCTATGCGTATGGATAAAAGGCTCAAATGGATTGCAATTGGACATATTTGCTTAGGTTATGGACATGCTTAGTATGAACATGGTACAAAATAAGACATAATTGCTTAAAATTAACTATAACCACTCATTTTAAATAGACTGTAATCCTGTGTTGTATTTAAGAGTGTGTTCCTATATTTTTTTTATAATATCCTCTTTGAGATAATACAAAATATCTTCCCAGATACATGCCTTCACGCACATATGATATTTAATAGGCTATACGCTTATGGTTTTGCTGAAAATACTTATTAAAATAAAAATAAAAAAATAAAGGAAAAAATGTAGAAAATGTCACGTCCTGTGACATTTTTTTTATATCTGTTTTAAAATATCTTATCGCGTGCTCTTCAGAATTTGCGTGGGCTTTTTAACGTTAATAATTCCAGTGATAGAGTTGCTAGAAATAAATAAAAGTTGATAGATGATAAATTAATATAATTAAACAATAATAACTGTGGGTGCAGACAAAGATATTATAACGTTTAATATTTAATTTATTTATAACTTAAAAGTAATTTTTCTCAAATGCCTATTTTCTATATTAGCACTCATTTTATTTTAATCACTTATATACCCCATTACTAATATATATTGACAGTTTGATTTTATACAACAAAATCTATCTTTCAACTGAACTCAAACGGCAAAATTCGTCTAATAATGCTGCGCACCGCACTGTTCTAGAAAACGGATCAAAAAGAGGTTTTGGAAATAACTTGCTATATTAATAGTCCAATTAAATAACGAAAAGAGCCCCTTCGAGCTTACATTAATTTGTAATTGGATGAAACAAAAAGGACCTTGTGTATTTTGATGTGATCTTTCCGAAAAAAAGAAAAAAAAGATGTAGCAGTTTTTCAATTTTTTTTAAATTAGGAAAAACCGGGTTTTCCGGAATTTTCCATTGTAAAAATGCTAATTATCTGGGCAAGTATCATTCCGATAGTGAAAATAAATGCACCATTCGAAAGAGGAGGCAAAAATAGTTCGGAAATTCATTGCACAGGTAGTTTTAATGGCGAATTTCCCGCGCCAGAAGTGCTTTTACCAAAAAGTCGTTTTTTCGTTTTTTTGATCAGAACCATGGACATGAAATTTGCGATGAATTTGTGACGAAATTATAAATGTTAGACATATGTGCTCATGAGAGAAGTTGCGTATTTTTTTGTTGGCTCTCAAATAAAATAAGTCCCGCGGCGAAATCTGACATAATTTTTCGGGAATTCGCAGGAAACCAGAGGCGTAGTTTTTTTTTAATTTTTTTCCAATGTGATTTTTTCCGAGTTTTCGGAAAACATCTAACAAAATAAATATATTTGAAAAAACTAACTTCGCCATCGAAAAGAGCACAAAAAATACACAAAAAGGTATACTTTAAAAATGTTAGGAAATTAATCTTAAGCCTGAGTGTAAGTTCCAACTTGGTGATAAGCTGGTAATTCTATATTTTGCACAAAACTCAAGAAACGTCTTATAACAAGTCAGTAAAATACAATTTAATAAATTTTAAGCCTAATAAATTTAGATATGCAAGAAATTTAAAACTGGAAATCGCAAAAAAATCAAATTACAGTAATGTAGTGTATACACGAGTTTTGGATCCCGCGGAGCGCGTGTAATGGGACTTTTGGAAAATTCTACAACTTAGAAGAAACATACACACTTTAAACTTTGTATACACATTTAGAAGACATGAAATTTGGGTTTGTTTAATTTTCAGACAAAAAAACTAAAAATTGTCAATTTTAGGCAACTTTTCTCAAAAACCGTGTTTTTTGGTTGTCACTCAATGAACAGTGGTCAAAAAAATAGATAAAATATATTTGCAGAATTTTCCGTAATGTAATCGTATTCTAGACACAATATAGTACTAAAAAAAAAGTTTTGAGCCATTGGGTGCATTTTTGGCATTTTTGTGCCACTTCAAACTTTCGAAAAAAAAAATTATTTTTTTTTTTTTTTTGAAAAAAAAAATATTTAATTGTTTGATATCTTAGCCAATTATGGTCCGATGTCGGTGAAATTCACACACACATAAGATTTCACATTTAAGAGTAAGCTTTGTAAGTGGCATTAAAAAAATTCAAATAGTTTGGCCGTTATAGGCAAACAATGAAATTAGGACCGCGGTGCATTTTGCCCTTCCGCCGTATGCCCAATTTTGGGATTTCTCTTGGCTCCTTCTGGGAATCACTAGTCACATCCCTTAAATTCAAAATGCATTTTTGTTTTTTCAAATATCTTAATTTTTACCAATGTTATAAAGAATTTAGTGTTTGAACATTTAACAAATTCAATTTTTCGACCTTCGTCGCCTCAAAATACTAAACAAATTTCAATCGTCCATACCGCGAGAACGGTGCATCGGATCAAAATTTCTCAAGAGACATAAAAATTAGAATATTTCCTAAGCTTTCAAATGTCGTAAACTGCGTTTTAAAGATATTGATTTATTTCCGACATGCGCCTGCGCAAAATTGAAAAATTGACAAAATCCAAAATTTCGGCACTTTCGAAAAACTGCTACATTTTGTTTTGAAAGGTCTAAATAAGGCAGAGAAGGACTTGGAGCATGACCCGACTGGATGGAACTTCTTAAAAAGGGCTGAAGGAGCCGAATTCCTTTAGAACAAAAGTGATACTTTACTCACATTTACATTTTACTTTTAACTTTTAATATTATTTTATCCTACAGAAATTATTTTGTTGTTAATAGATCAATTTTAAATATGAAGCTTCGATTTGAGAATTTTAAAAAAAGCCAACTTATTTTTTTTTTTAATTCAGAACTAAGAAAAGATCGATTTGATGACAAACATCAGAGAATTTACTATTATTTACATTTTTAAATTAATCCATTTTTAGAGTATACATTTTGGGCAAAATCCTCCAATGGGTTAAAAAGGAAGGAGGGCTCGATAGGATGGAATCTTTATCTCGACACAAATCGCAACTAATTTATGAATATATAGATCAAACAGAAGGATTCTATAATATATTCGCAAATAAACCAGTACGAAGTAAGATTAACATATGCATCAGAATAGGGAATTCAACAGGTACGTTGGAAATATATTTGTGATAAAAAAAGTTTGTAGAAAACTTGTTTTCATTTATTCCCATCTGACGGAGCTTCTTTACATCGGTGCCGCCATGCGCTGCACAACCTTACCTTTATAGTAATATTAAAAGTCTTTACTAATCAATAAGTTCATCAGAGAGATAAAAAAATGAAAATATATACATACTTGTGATAAAAAGTTTGTAGAAAACCTGTTTTCATTTATTTCCATCTGACGGAGCTTTCTTATATCGGTGCCGCCATGCGCTACACGACCTTGCCTTTATATTAATATTCAATGTCTTTACTATTTACTAACCAATAAAAAGTTCATCAGGGAGAGAAAAAAATGAAAATATACAGGGCGTTTTTTTAATATTGCGAAAAAATGGACGAAATGAAGCAAAACAGTTCCTATGAACATATGTCCTACGCCTCTTAGATTTTGAACTACAGGGTGGTAAAATAAGAAAGAACTTTTTTTTTCGATATATGTAATACCCCTGTAAATATTTTTCTGAAAATTGGTTCGCAGTTTCTATGCATCCAGAGCCATTTTCCGATACACAATTTAAACTTTTACATTCGAAAAAAATAGGTTTTTTTCTTATAACTTTACCACCCTGTAGTTCAAAATCTAAGAGGCGTAGGACATGTTCATTGGAACTTTTTTTTCATTTCCTCCAAGGGACACGCCTCTGAATTTTTTCGCAATATTAAAAAAACACCCTATATACATACATATTTGTGATAAAAAAAAGTTTATAGAAAACCTGTGTTCATTTATGTCTATATAATGGAGATTTTTGCATTGATGCCGACGTGCGCTGCACGATCTTGCCCTTATATTAATAAAACAATTGTCTTTACTAACCAATAAAAAGTTCATCGAAGAGAGAAAAAATTAAAATATATACATACTTCTTTGTGATAAAAAAAAGTTTGTAGAAAATCTGTGTTTATATGTCGTAAATATCAAATTATAGCAATGTAAATTGTATTAAAGGCCTGAAGATTACTTTAGAGACGAAACTAGTTCTGTGATAAATACGCTGTTATATTATAATGCAGTATATTTTAATTATAACAAGTACAAACAAGATTTTAATAACCAAGTACAAGTAGATGCAAGCAACAAAGTATTTCTCACTGCTTGCGATCTCTAGTTCTAATCATTTAATATTTAATGTATTCTTTGTTAACGGAAGAAAACTGCTCGCGCCAGTAGTAAAAAATGCTCTATTTTTTGTCTAAAAATGTAGGTATTTTTGTTTCATTATTTTTTTGTGAAGTGGCACTTCACTTACTACATCTGAATAGCCGCCACTGATTTAAATAAAATTGGAACGGGTAACTAACTCACATATTCGTATGGGTATTCTGCATCCATAATATATTCAGTATGCACACATAGCGTCGGCGCCTATGTATAAAAATATTTATTTGTCATAAAAAAAGTTTGTAGAAAATCTGTGTTCATTTATTTCCATCCAACGGAGCTTTTTTGCATCGGTGCCGCCGTGCGCTGCACGACCTTGCCCTTATAATAATAAAAATGTCTTTACTAACTAATAAAAAGCTCATCAAAGAGAAAAAAAATAAAACACATACTATTTTTTGATAAAAAAAGGTGTAGAAAACCTGTGTTTATTATTATTAGTTCTTTATATTTTGTAGAACTATTTCAAATTAATAATTTTGTCAATAGGTGATGCAGATTTAGAAGAAAAGTTTATACAAGAAGCAGAGCTGCACAATATGTATCAACTACGAGGTCATCACTTAGTTAAAGGAATACGAATCAGTTTATTTAACTCTATAACTATAAAAGAAGTAAAGACATTGCTAAAATTTATGATAGAGTTTGAAGCAAAACATAGGAAGTGACAGGAAATACATTAATTTATTGTTATTTTTTGTACCAATTTAATAAAAAGTAATGTTTAATTATTCTTGTTTTTAGAAAGAAAGGTTATCCATATTTTCTAGTGTAGTATTCAAATAAATAAAGAAACTCAAAATCAATTATATTTATTTTAGGTTCACACATAATTATGACTATATTTTATATATTAAACTATAGCATTTAAATTGTCTTACAGGCCTGATGATTGCTTTAAAGGCTAGTTATTTTTTGCTCCACTGTGTATATTATTTTAATAATCCCTACAGGTAAATATAAATAAAAAAACAAACACAAATATACTACAAAAATTTATTGAGAATTATGAATTTACTAACATAAATTTCAAAAACAATGTTTTTATGGATCAAATTATTTAAAAAAATAATATTTAAGCCGAAAAGTAGACACTTCCCCAGTATGTTACTAACTGCTGAAATCCGGCTTGGTATATTTTGGGAAGTGATCAGATGTGTAAGCCCAAACCACACCTCAGAAAAACCGAGGGGACAAATCTGAGATTTGCCCCTCGGCGAGGATGAGGTATATGATTTTGACTTTGGGTGTGGTTGCTTAGTATTTCGAGCGTTAAAAAAGTTAAGTTGAGAGTTAAGTTTTGGGTTTTTTTTTTTAAATCTCTTGATACCTTGCATTTTTTTTTTTTATCTGATACTTATTTGCTGAAACGATGCATTTGCCATGGGCTACTCGTCTCCAACCCAGAATCGTCTAATACAATCTATGTATACGCCCCTGGATGGAGACTTTTGCCCAATTTCTGGGTGCCCCGAACTGAATCCCAGTTATTGGGACACGCAGGCTGCAATCGCCCAGGGTGTCTTGGTCCGACACGATACAGATGGTCTTGTAACCGATGGTGGCAGAATTTCAGCTCTTAGTGAATCTGGAGACGGACCTGCAACAATTAAAAACATAATAAAACCAAATGTATACGAATTATTAGAATTTTCTCGTAGGTAGATCCCACGAAAAAAAAAATACCTATGAACTAAAAGAAAATAAAATATGTCGTTTGAGAAAAGCTTAGATGGAATGAACATTTTACAAACATCCTGAAACAAAGCGACTTGTGACAATTAAAATCTGAATAATGCATATTCAAAAACGAAGAAGGAACTAGAAAGCGAAGAAGATATAAATAGTTTAATGTACAGTTTAAAAGAAAAATTTGAAATGACAATGTTTGTCAAAGTACAGTTCATCAAATTTCTAGAGGTGTTCGACGCCCAGACAGAGAACGCGCTACGTGTGACTAAGATAGCTATTGTACAGTCTGCTAAACAAGTTATTTTAAATAGTTTTTAATATTTTTAGGTAATTAAATTTTAAAAGTGTGGAATAGTTTAGGGATTAAATTGGTCTGATTGGACTTTCTTAGAACGTTTTTAAAAGCAGCTAAAGATAGTATGTAGAATTGAAAATAATTATTATGCCATAAAAGGTGTTTTGGAATTCCTTCAACCTTTTGAAATTGAGTCAGAAAATATAAATTTTATAGGAGAGCGGAAAATACCTATAATTTTTTTGTAGGCCTTTGTAAATCGTGGAAATAGTTTATATTTTATTTCTACCTTATTAAAGAAAATGGTACCTATTATTAATAACGGTTGTTTCTGAAACATTACTAAAATTTTCGAAATTTTGTTTTTCTACAAAATAATAAACTATACTATTTAGAAAAAAATTTATTTCTCTTATAATTTTATAAAAAATAACAGGGGAATATTTACATTTCTTGATCTATTAAACAAAACGATAAATTATCTCGACGAATGACACCATATTCTAGTACGGAAGCTAGCTTTACATTTTTGTTGGTGGTTTCATGGGTTTCATATCAATTTTTTGTAATTGTAGTTTACACGTACATATACCTCTTAACACTTGTTTGCTTTATTAAAAAAGTGTGTTGTTGTGATTTACATCGAAATAAGTCAAAAACAACTTGAAACCCCATATAAAATCAAAAAGGAGAAACGGAAAAAAATTGAGCCTGTAAATGAACACAACTCAGAAACAAAAATAGCTATCTAATAATAAAAAAATAAAATTTGATTCTTGTGCAGCTTCATCTATATCATTAACTGTTTTTGGTTTTTTAATGGTTTTTCTTGGTGATGAAAATTCCGATATCTCACGGTTATCGATTCTTTTTTTCTCTCCAGAAATGCGGACGACAGAGTTTTTAGATACTCCTGTGGCTGCAGCAACACGATCATTTACATTTTTAAATGGTATTGAAGGTGAATTAAAGTTTCCTTCTCTTCTCATAAACTCTATAACATTGGCTATTATTTCGCGAGATTGACTGTTAATCACGCGGCCTCTTAATTTGCTATTAAACTCCATACTTAGGTTCTATTAAACTGTAATGAGCAAAAAACACAAACGAAAATAAAAGAAATGTTTTAGCGAAATTTACATCTGACATTTACGTCTGAATGAAATAGTGAAATACTTGATGCGCAGAGTGTACTTTCATTGCGTAAATCCGTCGGGATGCCTGTCAGTAGTGCTTTCTCTGTCTAGCCGTCGAAAGCCTCCAGAAATTTGATGAACTGTAAGTACTAGGCCACATACTTTGATTTTCTTTTACTATACGGAGAATGGTCGCACTGCGCAGCTTTCTGAGTGCCTTTTAAAAGGAGATAGAAAACTCCGCCATTTTGAACCCTTATTACGTGTTGCCTACATCTTGGCGCAATATTTTTAATGAGTGCGTTTTAATCATCGGCTTCTGTTTAGGAATTGTTGGTTTTCCTGTTTTAATCTGACAGGTTAAAACGACTTAACCGACAATTCCGGAAGTAGAAGCGGATGATTAAAACTCACCTGATATTTTGCTTGCTGCTGTCAGTGTCAGTGAATATTATTTTTGGAGTCACAGTTTATTGCTAAAGAATCAGTTAGCTCACTCGGACCAGTTGAAAGTTCCAAAATGACATCCACTCCAGGGATACAAATTCAGGATACGCAGAAGACTGCTGTTTTATTATAAGCGGTTGTCATATATTGTATTATCCGAGTTGCGCAGTGTATAAACTGGAACATTGAGATCAAAAGTGCCGACGCAGAGTGAGCGATCTGATTCTTTAGCTATAAACTGTGACATAGGAATCAAAATGGCCGCGTCCTATGTTGGGCGTGTCGGACCTCTCTCTTGCACTGTATAGTAATCAAAGTATGTGCCTAGTACATATACACGCCCAACATAGGGCGCGGCCATTTTGATTCCTATTCCACAGTTTATAGCTAAAGAATCAGATCGCTCACTCTGCGTCGGCACTTTTGATCTAAATGTTCCAGTTTATACACTGCGCAACTCGGATAATACAATATATGACAACCGCCTATAATAAAACAGCAGTCTTCTGTGTATCCTGAATTTGTATCCCTGGAGTGGATGTTATTTTGGAACTTTTAACTGGTCCGAGTGAGCTAACTGTTTCTTTAGCAATAAACCGTGACTCCAAAAATAATATTCACTGACACTGACATCAGCAAGCAAAATATCAGGTGCGTTTTAATCATCCGCTTCTGCTTCCGGAATTGTCGGTTTAGTCATTTTACCTGTCAGATTAAAATAAGAAAACCGACAATTCCGAAGCAGAAGCGGATGATTAAAACGCACCTATTAAAAATATTGCGCCAAGATGTAGGCAACACGTAATAAGCGATGAAAATGGCAGAGCTTTCTATCTCCTTTTAAAAGGCACTCAGAAAGTTGCGCAGTGCGACCATTCTCCGTATAGTAAAATAAAACAAAGTATGTGGTACTAGGTCAAACAACTCATGTAGAAGAAGTCTTAGATAAATGTGGCATGACATATACAAAGTCAGCAGAGACACCTATGATAAGTAAGGTTCATCGAGATAGAATATAGTAGAGACGACATAAACACTATTTTGCCGTATGACAGATGGACGCACTTAAAGGGACGAAAAAGTAGAATAAAAATGGCGATTTGAGAAATACTTTGATTTCTTTGAAGTCAATAATTTTATTGACAGAATGAAAATGATTTTATATCATTTAAATGAAGCTATTTAACAAAAATGATATTTATTTTCATCAAAACTGACTAGCTCCACTATCTCGAGTTTGACATATGACGTAAAAGTGTAATGCAAAGGTGAGGACACTTTAGCATCGTCATAGCATCTACTCTTTATTCTATCTCAATGGTAAGGTTGAAAATGGAAATGAAGAAGTAAGTGGTAATACTATCCAGCACTGAAGAACAATATATTGTAGCTGCTGATTGTGTTAAAGAATTGTTATAATTAAAATCGCTAACTGAAGAAGTTTTGGACATAAAAATTAAAGTAACCTTAAAAATGGATAACAAAGTGCTATAAAAATTATCAAAAAATGACAATTTAACCGGAGAAGCAAACAAATAGACGTAAAATTTCATTTTATGAATGAGAAAATTAAAGGACCACTAATAGAAATTGAATAATTATTGTGCTCAGCAGAAATGAAGGCAGACATTTTAACGAAGCTATTAGAAAAGCAAAAATATTTAAAGTACAAAAAAACATTTTATAATAAAAATGATAAGTTGTTTTTGACAATATCTTGATGTCAGGAGAAGGTGTTTAGATTTGCCAACTAACACAATAATAATTAAAAAAAAAATAAGGATATGCGGTTTTTGTTTTTATGTTATTTTATTGATATATTATTAAAAATTGCTTGTTAAAATGTCAATGTAATAAAAAATAAAACGTTCTTTCAGATGATTATAAAAGATTTACAGTAAAAGTAAAATAATTAATCTGAACCAAATATTGTTATGCTAGAGCTTTATCATATATCTTAAATTAAAAAAAAAATAAACTTAATTTACGAGTATTAAAAATGGTATGTGTGGCAATGGAGCAGAGACTAGAGCATTTGTCTGTCATGCAGTATTGAAGACTATTTAAATTGATTCTTTTCTCTTATTTTACTATATAAATTAGTAAAAGTCATAAATAATTTATAATAATTAGTTATTTTATCATAATTTTTAAAATTGTTTTCGTTAGTGGGTCGTAGAAAAAAA